TTCGGGGGGCTTACAGTGTACCCGTCACCAGCATGATCGGCATCAGCATCACAACCGGCGGCAGCTGCGGACACACGGAGAGCCTTCTGCAACACATATGCAGCAAGTATGCAGCAACTTGAATGGCTTGAATGGTACTGCAAGATTGCAACTCGAGCTTCCCCCCCCGGCCTCAAGAAGAGGAGGGTACTAAACCTCAGATGCTCACACAAAGAAGGATGTAGCGTGCCCCGCGGAAAAAAGGGAATGGCATGCGTGCGTTAGGGTCCATGGTTCGGTCATTGAGCAAACTTCTTCGTCACCTGTAAGACTCGACAAACCAGACTTCATGTCACGCCACCGTGACAGATTGCAACCCGTCACCTTGCCAACGGCCGTCCCCTTCTAGGGTTCCTAGTAGAAAGCGTTAGACACAGCGTTCCCCCTGGCGCAGCTCTCACCACAGTTCGAGGGCACCCTTCACCGCCCTCCCTTTTTCTTTTGAAGACAATAAAGATAAACTTGTGGGGGGGGGGGGGGGGGGTAGGGCGCTTTCTCAGATATTGTGGCTCCCTCACATTTTCAAACGCAACAGTTCCCGGGTCCCCGGACAGGCCCAGCGGGATCCACAAGAACAAGCTGGAGCCAATGCAGCCTCGAATTCGGTCAGAAAGAGTCAGAATAAGTCAACGTGGTACTGAGATGGAGAGAGCGTTTGCCCCGTTTCCTTCGCTCAGCGGCTCAGCAGCGGGGCGCTCTGTCTGCAACGCTGGGTCTTGGGCTGGATGAGCACGATCGCCGTCGCAGGATGCTTAAACCACACGTCCTGGAACTTGGAAACTGAGACTGAAAATGGAGGGAGTGAGATAAACCCGTGAAGCTCTGCTTCAAGGCCCACGCAACGCTGCAAGCCAGAAGGCCAGGAAGGGCGGCAGGTACTTCAACCAAGGCCTAAAACAGAACTGTCAGATCTTGAGGGCACTGAAAGCACTGAGCACTGGCGGAGCACCAGCCCTCTCAGCTCGGTCAGCTCGGGCCCTGAACCACGGGAGCTTCAGGTCCTCCTGAAGAGTGGCCGCCGTCAGGGGCACCTCACACGGAGGCCCTTGCTCGGAGCCCTTCCCAAGAAGGGGGTGGGATGCTGGGAAACTGACTTAAACGGCTTCTCCAAGATGACCAAACAATACCCCCAACACTCCGAGACCCCCGAATACCCCCGAGACGTCGCCACAACACAGGCCGAGGAGCTACTGCTGAACCAAAGATGAGCACCTGGCGACCAAGCTCGAGGCTAAAGAACACTCCAGGAGAACACTGATGAACGCTGCAGGACCACTGCAAGAACATAGAGACATATAGAGACAAACGGGTGATGAGGTTGCGTCTGCTGACCAATATGGGACGCTTGCGCCACGCTTGGGACCAACCCCCAAATGGCACCATCAGGCATTCGCAAGGCGAGCTGAGGAGAAGGAACCTCCGCACGAAAACAACACTTTTGACCCATCTTCTCTCTCCCCTTCCACTCACAAAATACAAGGCGCTCTCTGAAGCACTCCGAGGCCAGGGCCACCTCACGGTGCCCTGCAAGCGATTCCAGTAGAAGGTCCTCTCACAGAGAGAAGCCCGGCACCAGAAGCCCCCCCCTAAACCCGCGTCTCAGCGCTTCCAGATTTCACTCACTTCCTTTGCGTCATGTTGTGTTTGTTTCATTCGTTACCGTCTTCTCACTGTTTCTCATTTGTCACAGTTCATTTTGCCTCCTTTCGGCCTTTCTCAGCCGATTTCCTCTGTGCCGTGCGATTTGCTTTCAACTTGCCGCCCGGTCTCCAGCCGGTGCTGCTGCGCTGAAGGTAGATGGTGAACCTTCGAAAGCAAGGCAGCAGACAATATCCCTCGAGAAGCGCCCTCGAAACTCCAAAACTTCGGAACCAGACGTGATGGCCGCCGAGATCAGCACGAAGACCTGGCGCGCTGACGCCCAAAAGCTTGCCAAGTGCCAAGGATTCAAGGACTCCCCCTGCACCTCAAAGACAAAGAACGGGGCAAGGATGATGTAGAAGGACCTGATAAGAAGGAGATGTTCCGGGAAGTATGGCTCTTACGGCGACCTTTTCTGGGCGGCGGACGTGTGCAGAACCTCCAAGAGCTGAAGCCACAAGAGCGTGCTACTGGAAATCAAGGACCTGAGAAAGACATCGCCATCTCGCGCACGAAAGCCGCTGTCTTCAACGAGCCTCACTGAAGAGGACTCGCCGAGGACTCGCCGGACGCTCCCCTCCGAGACCCGTGCAAGCAGAAGAGGCAGTGGCCGAAGCGCACGAGGAAGTAGTTCAGGGCACGACTCGGAAAGAGATCGACACATGTTGTGAGGACTGAACGTCTGCTGAAGCTTAAACCTCTTCGTCACCACAAGTCGCCATGTCTCACTTACGTCACACTATGTCACTGGCGCAGGACTTATCACGGTGTGTTCCAAGCTATGTAGAAAAAACGACGAGAAAGGGATGACATGGCAAGGATGCCAAGTGCAAAAACAATCCGAAGACTTCTTCTTGGAAATGACTTCTTCAAGTGTGCAGAGGAATATTCAGCAGCTACTTCTCTGGACTTGGGCTCTGGCAGCCGCCGCTGCTTGCGCTCCTGCTCACGTGCCTCTTCCAAGGTGCCCGGGTGGCGAAAGCGAAGGCTACACGCTACGTCGAAAGCTCTGTCCCCTCAAAACTCTCAAACGAAAGAAAACCTTTGCAAGGTCTTGAGTCACGTCTTGTCTCCTGTCAGCTCTTGTAAGAGCTTGCTTCTCCTTTGCACACTTCTAAGCCCATATGAAGAGACTGTAGAGAACAGCCGAGCGTCGGAGTGGAATTCCCCTTTCCCTTCCCCCTCCTTGGTCTTCAGACTTCACACGAATTGAAGACCACGTTCCCGTGGCATCCTCCCACAATTCCTTCAATTCCTGGGCGACCAAGCTGACAAACCCAAGCGACGCCTGCTCCCCACGTTGTTGCAGCTCGTTTCGGGCCTATGAGCTGTCAAGAGAGCCCGATGACAGACACAAAGCACAACAACCGCAACAACTGGTCTGGGACTGTGGCTATTTCCAAGTCCAGTAGATGCTCACGACCTGAGGCACGCTTGCCGCGGAGACAATGCTTTGGCCAGGGTCAGGCCTCCCAAAAAAGACCTGAAACCTGAGATCTTGTAAGTGTCCCCAGTCCCCAGCGGGTCCCCCATGTGTTTCCACCCTGCGTTCGCCAAGCTTGCGGCGCTTGAAAACGTACAGCTGGCGAGGATGGAACTGTTGATGCATGGCCTTGGAGAAGTTGACTCACGTCTTCAGTCTCTGAATCTTTCTGAAGTCATGAGATAAAGCCGAGGGAGACTGCCTGAGACGGCCAGCGAAAAGGCATCAAAGGCTCTGGCCATCCATGTCAGCAGCATCGCTCTGTGCGTAAACGATGCCTGCGCATGTCTCGGATGCATTCCGTTGACGGAGCTGCGTGGAATGCTGCAGGCTCTCCGCGAAACTCTGGGAAAGACGGAAAGACAGAGACGAGGCACGCTGAAGTCGTTGCGCAGCAGCATCTGCCACAGCTCGGGATGCTCCGACCTGGTACTCTGACTTTGGCAGGGCCCCCATATTTACTGGCACAGAGAGAGAAAGAGAGAAAGAGAGAGAGAGAGCGGGAGAGAGAGAGAGAGAGCGAATGAGAGAGAAAGAGCCTAATGAGCAAAACACAAACAAAAAGGGGCCCTCGCAGCTTTGACATCCTCTGGCAGGCAGAGCTGACGCATCCTGGTGGGGGTGCGCTTCTTGTTTCTTCGCTCGGCGCTCCTTTGGTCTCTGCATCTCTGCATCTCTGCATCTCTGCATCTCTGCATCTCTGCATCTCTGCATCTCGCTCTCTGTTTAACGCGACCCATCTCCTGACAGCTCGGTGGCTTCCAGGTTCCCCAAGACTCGTTGCCAGCACCTGCAGGGCATCAACAGCCGCGCTCCCCAAAAAGTTTGATATCCCCCGGAAACTTCCCCCCGAAAACCCCTAGATTCCACCTTAGGTGACCCCCCCAACAAATTGCTCCTTTCATTCGCAGCACTGGTGTCAAGGCGGCCAAGGCACTCATCCGGCAAGGTCTCCAATCGCCTCTTCGGAGCCTTAACATGGGAGGTAGAGGTGTGTGTGTGTGTGTGTGTGTGTGCGCGCGCGTGCGCGCGCGCTCTGTTTTGATTGAGATTCCTCACAACTGTTTTCAGCTCCACACAGGCGGACGGAGTGCGTCTTTGGCACCTCCAAAGACGCAGAGTCTCCCCCAGTGTACCCCCCGAAAGCCCTGACAGCCCCAAAGACCCTCCACCGATGTTCTGGCCTCCTGCGGTCGCCATGTGACTACCGCGTCACCCTATAAGGCCCCTTCTGCTGAATTGTGACTCCGCACTGCAGTCTGTTGCGCTGAGCAGTGGAGAGCTGCTGCATGCCAGGAGAGGAAGCGCTCTTGCCAGGTGCTTGCTCGGTGCCTCGTATCTGCCTCGAGTTTGGTTTTGGGGTAGTTCCCCTTGTAAGTCTTGTAGGATTCTGTATAAGGCCTTCAACCACTTCACGCTTCCCAAAAGGCGGCGGCGCTCAAAACGGTTGCCTAGAGACCCACTTCAGAGAGTCTTCCGGACAGACATGCGCAGATATGTCCCCCCTTCTCTGAGTATAAGACACACCCAATATATCAGCATGCCAAAAGACGCCCTTCCTCCCCAGGCGTGCGGAGTCGTGTTCTCCCTTTTGCTGTCCCGCTCTCCAAAGACCGAAAAGGTGTGAGACGCTTTCTGGAGAGCTCCTAGTTTCAGGGTACTCTCTGAATTTCCTAGAGAGTGAGACGGGTGAGAATGAGTTGGTGCTGGATGGGGACAAGACATACTTACTCCCCCCCTGCTGCTTCTACTATAAGTTGCACTACAAGAAGGCAAAATCCTATGCGTAGTTTTTTGGTATGGAGGTGCTCTAAGAGGCTCCTTAGAAAGGACTCGACTAAGCCAAGTTGTCCGGCTCCAGGAAGAGCCGCCGGGAGCGGCGGAAGGCCCTCTCGAAGCGCTGCAGCGTCGCCACGAAGGCCTCGTCCTTGTCCAAGGCCGGGTCGATGTGCTCCAACGTGGTCTTCAGAGACATCCTCGGGAAGAGAGGAGCGACCGACAACTTTTTTGAAGCGGCTGGCAAGCTACCTGATCTGACTTTCCCCCCAAGAGCCAGCTTCTCAACAGGAGTCATGGGCTGAAACAACTCTTCTATCTCTTCTATCTCCCTGGCCATTCCTTGCAGAGACACCTGTGCCTCTCACCATGCTCACATCTTGCTTGCCAAGCAGCAGCATGTCCTTCAGGTTTTCGAAGGCGCTGAGAAGCTCGTTTGCATGGTCTGCTGCTTTCTGTGCGAGGTCGCCTCACCCAAAGTGTGACAAGACATGCTTCGGAACGGAGATTCGCCGCCAATCTGCAGAGCGGGTGGAGTTTTTTTTGGGGTCTTTTTTTTTTTTTTTGGCCGTTTTTTTTTTTGGTCGATTTTCTTGGTTTTCTCTAGGAAAAACCCTACTTTCCTTAAATTTTGGACGGATTTTCTGTCATTTCCCTTAGGTTTTCGTTGGTTTTTCATGGGGAAAAACCTATTTTTTTACATTTTGGACGGATTTCCTGTAATTTCCCTTAGGTTTTCCTTGGTTTTCCTAGGGGGAAAACCCTATTTTCCTTACATTTTGGACAGATATCCTGTCATTTCCTTCGTTTCTTGGGCTTTGAAGCACGCTTGGTACGGCTTAAAAGAAGCGGGGGGGGTTGGGGGGGGGGGGCGCAGCCCCCCCACTTGCAAACACCTCTTGGGCTTTGAAGCACGCTCTGCGCGGCTTCCAAAAAAAAAGAGCGGGGGGGTTGGGGGGGGTCTCACACGATGCTTTTCAACTAGTTTCTTGGGCTTTGAAGCAAGCTTGGTACGACTTAAAAGAAGCGGGGGGGGTTGGGGGAAAACACAGCCCCGCTCCCCCATTTGCAAACACCCTGCTCACATGACGGGTGTCAACAAGTTTCTTGGGCTTTGAAGCACGCTCGGCACGGTTTGAAAAAAAACGAGGTTTTCGTTGGTTTTTCCTAAGGAAACCCTCTTCTGATTACATTTTGGACGGATTTCGTCAAACGTCAAAGCGTACGTTGCTTTTCCTTAGTTTGTCCTAGGGAAAACCCTATTTGGTTCGTTTTCTTGGCTTCTATCATTCCCTCTACATTTTCATCGGATTCATACTTTTTGTTCAACTAGTTTCTCGAGCTTTGAAGTACGCTTGGTACGGCTTAAAAGAAGCGGGGGGGCGCAGCCCCCCCCCCCCATTTGCAAACACCCTGCTCACATGATGGGTGTCAACAAGTTTCTCGGGCTTCGAAGCACGCTCTGCACGGCTTAAAAAAGCGGGGGGGCTGGGGCTTTGAAGCACGCTTGGTACAGCTTAAAAGAAGCGGGGGGGTTGGGGGGGCTGTGCCCCCCATTTGCAAACACCCTGCTCACATGATGGGTTTCAACTACTTTCTTGCGCTTTGGCTGAAAAAAAGCGGGGGGGTTGGGGGGGGCGCAGCCCCCCCCATTTGCAAACACAATGCTCACACGATGTTTTTCAACTAGTTTCTTGGGCTGCCCTTGGGCTTAGAAGCACGCTTGGTACGGCTTAAAAAAAGCGGGGGGGTTGGGGGGGGGGCGCAGCCCCCCCCCATTTGCAAACACCCTGCTCACATGATGGGTGTCAACAAGTTTCTTGGGCTTTGAAGCGCGCTCTGCACGGCTTAAAAAAAAAGAAAAAGCGGGGGGGTTGGGGGGGGCGCAGCCCCCCCCATTTGCAAACACAATGCTCACACGATGCTTTTCAACTTGTTTCTTGGGCTTTGAAGCACGCTTGGTACAGCTTGAAAGAAGCGGGGTTCTGCAAACACCCTGCTCACATGATGCGTTTCAACCAGTTTCTTGGGCATCGGCTGAAAAAAAGCGGGGGGTTGGGGGGGGCGCAGCCCCCCCCATTTGCAAACACAATGCTCACACGATGTTTTTCAACTAGTTTCTTGGGCTTTGAACGGCTTAAAAGAAGCGGGGGGGGGTTGGGGGGTCTGCGCCCCCCATTTGCAAACACCCTGCTCACATGATGGGTGTCAACAAGTTTCTTGGGCTTTGAAGCGCGCTCTGCACGGCTTAAAAAAGCGGGGGGGTTGGGGGGGGCGCAGCCCCCCCCATTTGCAAACACAATGCTCACACGATGCTTTTCAACTAGTTTCTTGGGCTTTGAAGCACGCTTGGTACGGCTTAAAAGAAGCGGGGTTGGGGGGGCTGCAAACACCCTGCTCACATGATGGGTTTCAACAGTTTCTTGGGCTTCGGCTGAAAAAAAGCGGGGGGGTTGGGGGGGGCGCAGCCCCCCCCATTTGCAAACACAATGCTCACACGATGTTTTTCAACTAGTTTCTTGGGCTTTGAACGGCTTAAAAGAAGCGGGGGGGGTTGGGGGGTCTGCGCCCCCCATTTGCAAACACCCTGCTCACATGATGGGTGTCAACAAGTTTCTTGGGCTTTGAAGCACGCTCAGCACGGCTTAAAAAAAAGCGGGGGGGTTGGGGGGGGGCGCAGCCGCCCCCATTTGCAAACACAATGCTCACACGATGTTTTTCAACTAGTTTCTTGGGCTTCGAAGCACGCTTCCTTTCTTCCTTCCTTGCTTCCTTCCTTTCTTCCTTCCTTTCTTCCTTCCTTGCTTCCTTCCTTTCTTCCTTCCCTCCTTTCTTCCTTCCTTCCTTCCTTCCTTCCTTCCTTGTTTTCTTCCTTTCTTTCTTCCTTCCTTCCTTCCTTCCTTTCGTTCCTTCTTTCCTTCTAAAACCTACCAGAAATAACGCTTTCCTATGAAACCACAGAGAAATTACTGTTTTTCGTACGAAAAACCACGAAAATGCATCAAATCCTTTAAAAATATGGAGGGAATGGTGGTTTTCTTAGGAAAAACCAAGAAAATCGACCAAAAAAATAAAAAAAGGCCCAACAAAAAAAAAAAGACCCAAAAAAATAGGCCCTCCCTGCAGAACTCTGGGGGGGGCAACATTTGCGATAACGCAAAATGCCAGTGGAAGTCTAAATCTGATCCAATGTGAGTTCCGGCCTCGCGGGTTGCCCTCACGGTGCGTGTTCGCCTCCCCTGAGGTGCCCAGCCTGAGCACAGCCACCCCCAAAAAAAGCCACCTTCTCAAAGAGTCCCTGGGCACTTTCAGACCTGCGGGCCTGCGTGAGTCGTGAGTCCACACACTTCAGAGGAAGGGCCACTTTGCCACACTCTTTTCCTCCCCTTTTCAGAACCCTCTCTTATAGCAGTTCTCTCTCTAAAAAACTCCTCTTGGAAGCCGGGGCGCAGCTTGAAGGCGTAGCTCTCTAAGGGCACGCCCTGCCCCTCTCGCGGGGCCAGGGCGTGGGAGCCCAGCAGCGTCGAGGCCTCCGCGGCGCTGACCTCGCCCAGACGTACTGCGCTTCATTTTTTTGTGCATGTAGAGACACTCGATATGCAGCTTTGTAATATGTGTATATATATATATAGATATATGTATATATGTATACATATACTCCAATATGGGTATGTATGTATTCATACATCACGTACGGTACTGAGGGGTGTATATGTGCATATACAATGAACATATCTATAGATGTTCGTGTTTAACTAAGCGGTTGCCCACCTGGTGGTCCGGGAAGAGGACGTTGGGCGCCTTGGACAGCGTCTCCAGCAGGTAGGGCTGGCTCGGGCTCTGTGGGCTCTTCTCCATCTTCTCCCCCCGGAGCGACAGCACGTGGTCCATCAGCAGGAGTAGCCGCGCGTCGTGGTCCTCCACAAAGCTACCAGGTTCTGACTTCCTTCCGACTTCTACTGCCTCTACCCTCACCGCGCAGACATATTTGCTCTGAGCCTGCTTCATCCGAAAGAATCTGCGACAAGAGTCTTGAATTCAAGGGATCACGATGAATCGTGTCACGAACCACTATTGTTGTGACGGGCGCGGGTCATGTACAGACTGAAAATCATGAAATAATAAAATAGAGAAATGCTTGCGAGAAAACTGAGAGAACAATTGCGAGAAAATTGCAAGCAGTTTCCGACCAGTAGATAGAACATTGTAAGGAATCTGCAGGAAATTAGCCGGAATTTTGTGAGGAAATTGTGAGAAAATTGAGCGTTTCAGGCTCTTGTGCAATCGTTCTCTAAATTCTCGCTAATTTCTCTTTGATTTCTTGCTTATTTCTCGCTAAGTTCTTGCTAATTTCTTGCTATTTCCCTCGGAAAACCATCGAACCCGAGAAAACAAGAGATTTTGGGACTAGACGGATCTTAGTGGGAGATTTGCAAGAAAATAGTGAGAAATTAGCAAGAATGTAGAGAGAAAATTGCGAAATTAGAGGAGGCATCGTATAGATTTGGAGGGAAGCACGGGGTGGCCATAGCCGCTCACAAAAAAATCACTAGCCGAAAAAAGGACAAGATCACAAATCTGCTTGCAAAACAAACGCTAACAAACTACTAATTAAGTCCTAGGATGCGCCCCCAGTCTGTACATGGAATGAACGTCACAACACTATTGTCACAAGTTCGTCAGAACTGCTGACTGTAACAGGCGCGCGCCCATGGCGAGAAGTTGCACACCTAAGGTTCACACGCCGCAGTGCTAAGCTGGCCAGACGGTGGACACAAGCACATATCCTGGTTCGGCTCGAATCCACTTGATCCACTTGCCTTCTATCCAGAAGAGCAACACCCCAGTTCTGACTTGGCTCGAAGACCGCTTCATCACATTTTTCGTGATGCGCCACAGTTGCTGCAGTATCCCGCTGCTCGAGGAGGGGGGAGAAAGCTCTTGGCCCTCATATGCCAACCTCTGTGTTTTGGCGGGGGGTTTTTGCGCGCGGGTCCTTCTCCCGCTTGTTGGACGGCAGCACGGAGGCTGCCAGCTCCCCAAATGCGTGGACGAAGCCCTCGAGGCACTTCAAGGTGATGGCCTGCCACGCAGCGTGTCAAAAAGAAGCTCTCACACGAAGGATCCAAACTTCAAAAAGAGCTGAAGAGCTTCTAAGCACACGTGATGACTTGACTTAGCTAAGAGCACTCTGAGACTCTGAGCCCGTTTCTACACGCAAGAGACCGGAGATGGGGTGATTGGGGGCCTTCTGGTGCTGCACCCGAGGCCAAGGCAGAAGCCGCTCCTTGGTTGGAGTGTTCTGAAAAATTCACAAGACATCTGCGCTCTTGCAAGCCTTCAAGGGCCGAGGCCCTCAAGAAACATGAAAAGCGGCTGAAGAGACAGAGCATGAGAGAGCACTCTGCTCTTCGTTTCCCTCGCGAATTTGTGGCAACAGACACAGGCGGAGAAAAAAGGCAGCAAGCAGCAGCCCACTCTCTCGCTGGATTCTTGCAATAAGCGGAGCGTCCTTCTCTGCCGAAACGATCAACGGCTCCAGCGCCAGGATGGCTTTCACGGAGGGCTGCAGCGCCTCTTATTGTTCAGAAGCATTGTGGAGTTCTCCCAAAAAACGGCTTCTCGAAGGGCGTAATAACAGGCTTTTTGTTTGCCCATCGCCACTCGTTTGTGAGGAGAAGAGGTTCTGAGAAGGTTCTGTGTTTGGGTCTTCTGTCGCATTCGTGGCCGGTTTGCATGTTTCGTGTCGACTTCCTTCTCGTTTTGGATGCATCGCGGCCCGTCGCATGCGTTCGCTCACACCAAGCCTGACTAAAAGGCATGGGTGCACATGTGGAAAGATCCGGCGCGAAGCTATCATACCGGTAGCCATCACCCGCTGAGGTGCGAGGTAGAGCCCTGCGGCGAGCTGCGCGACCCGATGCGATGCGCGAGCTCTGTCCACATCTGTCCACTCCCTGCCCCCGAAAGCCAGTCGCCTCAACAGCGTGAACTTCTCTGTTCCGAAGCCACGCTGACCTCCGAGCACCGCAAAGCATGCTCAGAGCCACAGTTCGCTTGCACAGTCCTGCGGAGTCCTACGCACTACGCACGGGAAATGCAGAAAGGAAGCCGGAGAAAAGGGTCCGGTCGTTGAGGGACATGTTCATAAACATGACACTAACATGACCCACACACACATGATCACACATGCGAAGCCAGGTAGCTCCCAAGCATGCCAGGCACTGGCAAACTTCCGTAGCAGCGCGTCCGGCAGCCGGTCGATCTCCTTCGAGGCCTTCTGCCGGATCTTGGCGACCAGCGCCTTGTAGGAGATCACCAGGTTGTCCCGCAGCACGAGGACCTCCACAAGCACGCGAGGAGTCTTCTGAGTCTACGGAGTCTACGTTCTCCGCCTGCGCTTCTTCTTCTTTAGCACAGGACATAGACGTCCACAAGAGACCGCTCCGCCCAACCCGCCTCGGGATCAAAGAGCAGCTGCACACCGTTGATGGTCCTTTTCAGACAGAGAGAAGAGAGAGAGAGAGAGAGAGAGAGAGAGAGCGAGAGAGAGAGAGAGCGGATGGGCAAGAACTCAAGAACAACATCAGTTGAGAGATCCTTACTCTTCACCTTGAGTTAGTTAAGATTTAAGCTATGAAAGTTGAAAGCCAAAAAAGAAGAAGCTCTCCTCATTCTCTTAAATGGTAAGAGCCGAGGCTCTCGTAGGCTCCCAGCTCCAGTGCTTGCATGAACACGGCGGGCGGCAGCAGCTCCCCCGACTCGAAGAGGTACCGGAAGCGGGGGAAGTCCTCCCGCTCCTGCGACGCCACCCGCTCGAACTTCCCGACCTGCGAGACGCAGATAGACGCAGGGAGCAAAAGCCACCCTCATCGCGCCCCCGACCAAAATATCTAACGACCTTGCAAAGCTTGAAGCGTGCTACAGTACCGGACGAGCTTGCACCCTGCACGCTCTCGCAAAGGGGGCGGCTCATAGCTTAGAGCCTTGAAAAACGAAATTTCGAGCAGAGCCCCAGGGATGCCCTCTCGCCTCCAAGGCTTCGGAGATTGCGGTGAGGTTTCGAGGGATCCTCAGCAACCGACACTCCCCCAGCTTAGGGCTCGACATCCCCCTCCTCCTTGTGTATGATTACTGTGCTGGGCCCTGATATGCCTGGGGTCGTTTTGGGGAAGCTTGTCTTGCCGCTCGGCTTTCCTATCGTGTGTTTGAGCCCTCGAAACCAAGCTGACAACTGGGGCAGCCACTCGGCCCGGTTCGAGGGTTTGCAGTAGTCTTCCCGCAAAGCTCTGACTCCCAGCGTTGCGTTGCCGGTCATCGTGTGACCAGCCGCTTGCAGTACTTTCGTCATGCCCAGGATGGCTGCGGGCCCCAGCTTTGATCCAAGATGCTTCAAACAAGTTGCATGACACTGTGGCACTATCTTCAACTACTGCACAAGACGGCCTAGAGACTTACCGAAGGGTTCTCTTTTCGCAAGATCGCGGCTTTTCGCAGTCCTTCGCAGTGCTTCACAGGCGCTCAGACGTCTGCATTGGCGCAACTTCTATCTTTGGCAGCAAGCTTTGCTGCGGTAGCGCGCCGTTGCAAGGACATCTCACTGTGAATTCACCTGTCGCGGAAGTCTCGCATCACTCAAAGATAACACGACCAGCTTTCGTATCGGACCAGCCGTGGATGACCAAAGCAGTTACCAGGACATGGTCTCCCTAAAAATATAGTCTGATAGGCGTTAGTATACTGGAACGTCAACGTGCAAAGAACTTGCAAGGTCCGCCCCCCCCCCCCCCCCCCCCCACATACCCGGTTAGGCTTTGGGGAGGCGAACTGAATTAACGGTGCAGGATTGCAGACGACTCTTTGCATAACTGTCTGGCTACCTGATTAAGCTTTAGCTCAGTTTTGCGGGGGTATTGCATTTAAAGTGGTACATGATACAACAGAGATCAACGAAGGCCCATGAACAAGATGTCAAAACGGTCTCACCCCACCCATTCATAGGCTTCCTCCACATTTGCAGTGATAAGATAGGACTAGTGAGCCGTGTAGAACAATCTTGCATTGTAGCGGGTTTTCACAAACAACAAGCTACGCAGAAAGCAGGCCCATGCGGAAAAAGCAGATGCAGAGCTCACACATAGCGGCCGAGGCGAAAACCTACGTGCACCTAAGCGGATAGCTTCTACACAAGGTGGTGGCATGGGGATCGGCGAAAAACAAAGCGCATCTCCACAGAATATGATAGGGCATGATTCGGGCATGATTCAACAAAGACAGAAATTGGCACACTGTAGAGGAATCTCCGTATCTCCAAGGGCGCAAAGTGGGCCGAAGTGCTTTTCGTTATGCAGCTGTCGTAGCTGGCGCACATAAAGGGTCAAGACACCAGAAAAACTTGACTTATGACCTTGTGTTGGTTAGTCTCATGATGTGATTTTCTCAGGATTTCTTCAGCAGGCCCCTGTGGATTGGGCCGTGCTCTGAGTAGGAAGGGGTCACCAAGGGAAACGTCCCGAACTTGGTTGCCAACTCAGTGGGGGCTGGAACCAGCGCACTGGACCGTCAGCATGCTTTTTGAGGCAAGGAACGTCTTGTCCACAGCTGGAAAAAACCGAAAAGTCGTGCAGTCCTTTAACGAAGCTGCAAAGCCTTTAACGCTGCGACAACTTTGCGGTAAAAAGGGATTCCGAAGCTGGAGACGAGGCAACGATCGGGCGCTCAGAGCTCAGGGAGGTGCACGCTTTGCAAAAGACGCCCGGCCCCCTAACCATCAACTAGAGGAGCCCGTCAGACCGCCAAACGAGCTTCTTTAGAGAGTTTTGAGACCCTAGAGACCCTCTGAGGTCGAGCCGTTTCTCAGCTACTGAAAGCACGCGCTTCGATCGGGGAACACATTCGGTAACACAAAACAGAAACAAGGCAACAAATGAATAGCAGTCTTGCGTGCGCCTCTTGCAGCCAGCAGCTCAGCAGCTCGGGCGTCTTGGCATGCGGGACAAGCGGCAGTGCTCCAAGGCGCCGCAGCTCTGCGTGGTAGACCTCCCGCGGAACTCCCGGCAACGCAACCGCTTCTTTCAGAAACATGCGGCTCAGCCTTTCCCTTATAACAGAACAGAAACATGCCGCAACCCCCTCTGAGCTTTCTCCTTCAAGCTGGAGGCGACAGCGGGCGACGGGGCCTCTCCAGCAGCAGAGAGGAGAGCGCGACAAAGAGAGAGAGAGAGAGAGGGGAGGGAGAGAAAGCAAACTGAAGTGTGAGCCGGGGTCTTTGCATAGAGAGCGAGAGAGAAAGAGAGAGAGAGCAAAAAAACTTCGATTCGGCGCTCCAGTGCGCCTCTTTGAGGGTTTGGGCCAGGAGCCGATGGGCGGACCCGGCCGAGACGGAGCCGCCGCTCCAAAGCTGCCGGACCAGGCGCCTCCCCGTGGACTTCGTGAAGACATCGTAGACTTAAACGAAGTACTCAACTAACACACACTCTCATCCATCCTCTCTCCTCTTCACAACTGGTTCATGCTTCTCTTGCGTTCGCTTCGAACTTGGTGTCTGCTTGTTGTTGCGAGCCCTCGATCTTTATCTCGGAGAAAGAGCGTTGCACGAGAGCGCCTGGCCACATGGAAGCGTTGCTGGAGTTCCCGCCCGTCCAGAGCCGCGCGCTCGTCGGGGCAACCTCTAAGGTGTGCGCTGAGCAAGGGTGGCACAAAGTTGGGCAAGTTGAAGAGCTCACCTTTGTGGTAGGCGTCTTGGTAGTCTAGACGCCAACGGCACAGTTGGAGCTTCAGCCCTCGTAGTGTCTCCATGTCCTGGGCAGGGCAGGAAATTGGAATTGGGATGTTGCAGGGAATTTGCACAGGCAGCGGAAGGTTTTTTAGCAGCTTTTGGGGGGGGGGGGGGGGCGATCCTTGAAACGGCGCTGCAGGGACTCCACGTGAAAGTCTCGAAGCTCGCCTGAGAAGGTCGGGAGGTCACCAAAAGCGGGGACGGATGTGCCGTGCCTGGCATTTGGCAGACTTGGCTTCTGGTAACTCCGTGTCTTTCTTTCTTCTTTCTCTGTAGATCAAGACATGTGCAACAATCGAAGGAGATGTCACCATCACGAACACTTCCGCAAGACTCCGATGGTGCAGATCCAGGCACGGTCAAGCCGATGGTAGTCCGCTTCACAGGCTTTCCAAGCCTCTTCGAGCTTGGGCATGTAGCCTAACAGTTTAACAGATCAGACAGCTCCTCAGCTCAGCGGCTTCCCTAAATCTTCGCATCCTCTTGCTGAGCAGACGACGGCCGCGGAGCTCGGCTGCAAGCCCCTCAAGCTTCTGCCGAGCCGCCTTGCAAGGAGCTTCAAGAGCCTCTGTCGCACCCGAGGCTTCCGACCTATCCGGTCTTTTTGATGTCTCCCCCACTGGCGCCGAGGAATGTACACGCAATACAACTCAATACAAGCTGATGTGAGATTCCACGCGAAGTGCACGACGTGAGGGGCTTGCTTAGCCGAGGCAACCCCAAATCCGAGGGCAGGCCGCGCAGGCCCACGACCCGCAACCCCCAAATCAGCCCTCAGTAAAAACCCGAAATACCCGAAACCCTCAATACCCCACAAGCCCTACAGGTAACCCTCAATACCCTACTACCGTCGAGACCCTCAAGACCGTACGCACCCTCAACCACCAAGACCCTGAACCTCCTTTTCTAACCGACCTCAAGCCTAGCTCCACTAGCTTTCATGATGGGGCGTGGCGACCCCTCAAGTTGACGGCGACTGCGACTGCGCTTCGGCCGCGGTTGATATAGGGTTGCCGGGTGCCAGGAACAGGTTCTGCTTCGGGCGTCGTGATTCAGAATCCCTAGACTTTTTGAGCACCATGAGGCCGAGACTGAGAGGGACGTGGATGTCCGAAGTTTACCCAGCGGAGCGTGACCAAAGCACTCGGACGATGTCTCTACCCAAATACCCAAATATGGAGCCCCCCCCCTAAGTGTCTACCGTCCGCACCTCAGCCACAGAGCGAAGCTGCTGCAAGGGCTCCGGATCCTCTCCCGCCCCTGAGCAAGAGCCACAGCTACGCTTCAGTAGTGCTACAGTAGCTACATTGCTTTCAGCGACCAACACCGGCCTTATAGTGGGGCCTAGAGCAGCTCTACAGCGCTGTGAAAGCCCCCCCTCCCCCTTTTGAAGTGGCGCATCTGGCCATGACCGCACCTGGAGCCCCCAGCAGCCTGGAAGGAGCGGAGGCTTGAATGGCCTGCTCCAGGTCCTGTCACTTTGCTCTCACAAAGAGAGAAACAAAGAGAGAAACAAAGAGAGAAACAAAGAGAGAAACAAAGAGAGAATCAGATGAAAGAGCTGAGAAGAAGCTACGTGAAGCAGCCGATACCTGCTGAGCTCACTCCTTGAGAGCTTCCTTCAGCTCCGTGTCGGCTTCAACTTGCAGGTGATCCAGGTCCGCTCGCTGCGACCGTAACCAGCCCTGCTTTTCCTGGCGCACGGCGGAAACTTTCAAGTGAAACAGCACATCCCACAACCCACCCAAAAACAAGCAAAAACAAGGTGCCACAGCATGCTGGAAGCCAAGCTAAGCACCCGGCTGCTGAAAGATGGCCTTCCAACTCGCCCGTCTCCCAAATCTGAGAGCACGGAGATGCCCCCCAAAGCCGGGAGAGAGGAGCGCACCAGCCCCAAGGGCTTGACAAAGTCTGGATATTTTATTTGGGGAGACCTCTGAAAGGGAGAGAAGAGAGAGAGGTGTGCGAAGGTGCGAAGCCAAGACTCTACTGAGCCCCTCCCCTAGCCGCCTGTTGGAGGTCTTCCACGCGTGCGCCACCCGCACGGCCGGAAGCTCGGTGCGCCTGAGTGAGTGAGATAGAGAGAGATGGGATAAAAAATGAAGACAGGAAGGAAAGAAAGAGAGAAAGAAAGAAAGAAAGAATGAAGAAGGAAGCGCCGTTTGATTAAGCAGAGCTAAACTTTCTCTCTCGACAGGTTCTGCGACTTTCTCGCGACTCTCGACTCTCGACTCTCGTCTCTCGGGGCCTCCACATGGTGGTGCCAGAGATTCCTGAAGCAACGCTCTGCATGCTCTGCATGCTTTGCACGCTGTGCCCCCGCTCCATATGCCACCCTCACAACTGCTGCCTTTGGAGCATCTCCTCTAGGTGCTGCCTGGCGACAGCGACAGCGCACGGTGACCCAACACGTCTGGTTCAAAAGGAAAGGAGCGAGCCTCGAGGCCTCGCCTGACAGGACCCCACGCACTGGGTCCCGGGCCACTTGGAAGCCATGACCTGGTCGAAAGCGGCCGCCAGGCCTCGCCAAATCGCAAAGACTTCAAAGAAGCAAAATGTACAAAACAACTCAACTTACAAACTCAAGGAACTTCCAAGAACTTCTAGGCCATCCATGCCTTTCTCGCATCCATTCGCTACAGGACATGACTGCCTTCCGAATTTGTCCGAGGCGCGCGTCAGCTGCTGCCTCGCCACCGTCCGTCCCTCCAAGCTGTGCGCTTCACGGACTCACGCAGTTGAGAAATGGACAGAGAAGCGCAACTGAAGTTACCATTTGAAGCGCAACTGAAGTTTCCATTTGGAACCTCCCCACCTTGTCCCTACAGGGATTTACATTCGGATTTACATTCCGGTGCCGTCCCTGTGCTTCTTCACGCAACATTTCGGCAAGCTGCCCGCTTTCCTGTACAGTTGCGCACCTGAGTTTCCCTGGCCTGCTTACTCACCTGGCCTGCTTACTCAGGAAACCCCTAACTTGCTTACTAAGATGACATTCCGATGCAGTTGCCCGCCTGAGCCTCCCTGACCTGCATGTTTCGGGCACAGTTGCCCGCTTGAGTCTTCCATGCCCTACTTGCTCAGACGACATTCCTGCACAGTCGCCTACCTGATCTGCTTGCTCAGGCAACACTCCGGTCCAATTGCCAGCCTTAGCCTCTTTGGCCTGCTTACGAAGACAACATTGTCTACAGTTGCCTACTTAGCATGCTTGTCGTCAACATGTCGGCACAATTACCCGCCTGAGCCTGTTGCCCGCCCTGCTTGTCAACGAAAGCATTTGTCGGTACAGTTGCCCATCTGAGCCTCCCTGGCCACCTGCAGTTGCCCCCCTTTTGTCCAGAATGCTGTGCTGCCTGTCCTGCCAGCTCTTCCTTGAAATCCACAAGCCCCCATGAACAAGAACAAACAACTCTGGGGCATTGAAGACTTCGCAAGGCACCAGCTTCTCGCGGCCCGCCGCAAAGCCACGGAGTTCCTGCCGGAAGGCCTCGTCACCTCAACAGAATCAGGCAGCAAACCACAACAAAAAGAGAAAGAGCCGAGGAGCAACCGGATATGCAACCCCCCCCCCCTCGCTGTGCAAAAAGTCGCTCTGACACTGTCGGTAACCAGTGAACAACGATGATCATCGCAGCCAATACTTGAACAAACAATGCACAGCCAAAACCGCAGCGCCGCGGTCTCGGATGGACTCCCCACAAGGGGGGGGGGGGGGGAGGGTCGTTTATGTGATGCGTGTTTCTGGGTTTATGTGTGTGTGCGCAGCATGAATCCCTCTTGAAAAAGGGGGAGGAAGGAACGCTTGGTCGCTTGGTTGCTTGGCTGCCGAGCTGCAGTCCTCCTTGGCCTTCTTGGTGGAGGCGGCCGACTCGTGGCGCTCCTGAGCAGCACTCGCTCCGAGAGCTCCCCTCTTTTTCCCTTTCTGAACTCCGAAGAACAGCAGACATGCAAAAAAGCAGGTGACAAAAAATCCCTTTTGAGAAGATGCGCCACCGTTTTCTTTGGAGCGTACACACTCAGGGACACTTTCGGAAACCCGGACATTTGTCTCAGGGCTCTTCGCTCCGAGAGCAGGGAGGCCTTATAGCCTTATGGCCTCGTTTCTGAGCTCTGGGAGGTGATCAAAAGAAAACATCCCCTTCTTGGGGGAACATTTGGCACGGAGAGCTCGTTTTGCTCATATCCCCCGTCCTGAGACGCGCCTTTGTCCTTTTCTGGCGAAAAAGAACAGAGCTTCCAGATGCTTCTGTGACAAAGGCTTCACAAAGGCGCGCACCACGTCGCGGCCGGAGACTTCTGCGCGCAAGTGGTCCACGACGCTGGATGTGATGGCCTCGTTCTTTGCAGCGACGGCCTCGTGATGCACATCTCACAGACCCCCGCATCTCTGCCCGACTTGCTTCTTTCACCGAGTCACCGAGTCCCCTCTTTTTTTCGAGACCCCCACTGAAACAAAACAAGAGCGCCCTGTTCTGCACCCCCAAAAACGTCTGGAAAAGAACGCCACGCCCAAGCTCCCTCCTGCTCCCCCGCCTGCTCCACCTTTAGCGCCCGCTCCAGGACGGAGCGCTGATTCTCGGACCAGCGCTTCAGGCGCTGCGCCTCTGGAAAAACTGAGATCTCGACAAATGAGGCATCCCATTGCATAGACATGGACGTTGGCTCTTTCGCGTTTTATATGTGTCTTGTCGAAGTCTGGGTGGTTTCCAAGGCCTAGTCCAGGAGATCTCTGGTTGTTGCCGCCTCCGCTTTTCAATCGTTCAATAAAGGCGTTCCTGTTGAAAAGGGTCCAGCCAAGACTCCTGGATGTTTTCGATCATTTGGGAGTGTTTTGGGGTGTGTTTAGTCCGAACCAATAGTCATAGAGTCATAGGTAGATCTTCATCTTCTAAGGGTTCGGCCTTGCCGAGGAAGATTCCGTCTGTGCTTTGGGCTTGCTTTGCGCGTTTCAGTGTGTATCTTTGGAATGTCATGAGATCTCCCAAAAGAAGCTGAGCGCGACATATCGAGTGCTGCCAGCCTGATACTGCACCACTGCCTCTTCTACGTTGATCAGGAGATGGTCGACCTCTTCTGGGCTCATTCAGACTGACCCTCTCTGAAGGATGCTCTCTGAGAGCTCCCTCTCTCCTCGCCTTGTCGGCCAGTCGCTGAGCGGGCGGCCTCCAAAGCAGAAACTGCATCACGGGGAAGCACTCAAAAAAAAACTTTCGAAGTACTTTGCGGGGGCCACGGCAACTTAAAGACTTTGCAACTTGCTCAGCTGACTTGACGGAATTTGGCGGCCTGCGTACCGCCATGGCAACGTCTTATCAGAGGGCGACTCCTAGGTCCCCAATCGGACGATGAGCCCCCCGCCCTGAGAACCCCGACAGCTTCGGCGCCCTTTTTTGGACCTCTGAGCTCCAGATGCCCACGTGCAATCCATGTGCCCATGACCCATGCGCCGCGGACCATGTCATTTTCAAAAGGTCGATGATCAAAACTTGTGGCTTTGCAGCCCCCCTTCCCCTTTTCCTTTCAGTTCACCTCTACTGCAGCACTTTGCAGCCTGTACGCTAGGCGGAACGGCGCGGGAGTTGCTCCCCTCGCCCCTGTGCAACTGTGGACGGCCACAGGGTTTGCAGAGTGCCGGATCCCGTTCAAAAGGGTCTCGAAGCACGACAAGATTAATAAAGCCTACAAAGGCCATCTGAATTACATATGAAACCTACAAGCCTACACGACTACACAACTGGGTCCGGAAAAAGCACGTCGCGGCGGCGCTCCTGTAGCAGGCGCCGCGACGGCCCTGAACCCTCCGGAGGCCTGGTTCCGTTTCCGAATTATCTGCGCTACGCAACACATTGTGCAACACTAAAAAACGTGGGATGCCAAACGTCTCAAACGTGCACGTGGCCAGTCCCATGAAGTCGTTCGAGCAGTCTCCTGTCGTCGCCCCAGAGCCCATCATCATCTTCTTCACTACCGAAGGTTGAGCCGATGGCACCGTACTTGATCTTTGTAAATGAAACGTGGGCAGTCGGGTATTTCTCTCGCACAAATGCAGGACTTCCCGTGTCTGATCGACAGGGGCCGCGGCTAACTCCTGGTGCCAACACGTCTCTGTCTGCGGGGTAGTTCGAGTCCAGCCACAGCATGTGTGCCTCAGCATCATCCCACAGGGACAGGACCAGCACCATACCACGATCCAGAGCCTCTCCCATGGCCTTGAGACCCCCCTTGCGACTGAAGTCATCAACGTCACCAAATGCTGCTTTCATGCTCGCGCAGAGCTCATCTGTAATGGAGTTTTCAGGAGCAAGGCCAGCAAGAGACACATTCGAGTTCGGGATGACCTTCCCATCTTGCACGTAGAACCTTCGAATGTCAACCAGGGCTCCATCGTCTGTGTTTCCTTCAGTGATGAACTGCGTCACCACTGTCACAGGCTTCCGCGAATTGATGTCGAACATGTGACCGCGACCATAGAAGCTGCGTGCCCCGAGACGCCAACTGTTGAAGTCACAGCCATCCTTGTCGCAGACGCCATCGTATCTCTGGTTTTTGCTGGTGTCACCGCATTCAACACCGTCGCAGACATACTGGCCGGTGATGGAACATGGGTGCGGAGTATACGCGGTAGCCCGGCTATTCGCCTCCCAGATGTCCATCTCAGAACAGCAACTGCCCCATCGCCCAATGGGCGGGTCGTGGCTGGCATTCCAGTCGACAATGTTGGCTTTGCCATCCATGAACTTGATGTCGTGTGGACACTGCGCGTCACAGTAGCCGGTTCCATATTTGGCTCCTGCCTCGTTCCCTCTTGCGAGGCCACCATCGCGGTCCATTTCCACGAAGTAGACCGCCCCATTGAGCCCGCAGGGCATGAAGAACATGTCCACAGAGAACGAGAACTCCTGAACGGCAGAAAACAGAGAAGCTCGCAAGCTGTAGGAACACTCCAAGAGAATCTTTTCACCAAAACACCGGAGTGACAAGCCCAAGCAAGCCCAAGCAAGCCCAAGCAAGCCAGAACATGACATCTGTTTGGGAACCTCAAGGTTCCAAGAGTTCCTCCAAAACGGCTCCGCCAACAAAACTTAAGCAACTCAAGCCCCAGAAAAGCCAGCATCCCGAGGAGCTTGAACGCAGAAGACTTAGCCCAGATGTTCCGCGGTGCTCCCTGAAATGCCACGAAATCTAACCAAGGAGAAAGGCAGACCGACTCAACAAGTGGGTAAAAGACACAGCCGCTAAATGAAAAAATTGCTGAGGAGGAGCTCTGTTTTTCAACTTGAAGAGCTTGTAATGGCTTGAATCGTCGAGCATGTAGACGCGGCTCCCAAAGTTTGAGCCATACTGAGTCTTGGTCACGAAGTTCAATGTCATTCCATCGCCAATCGTCGTGATGCCATAGGTACTTCGATATTGGTCCTCTGTGGGTCCCCCCCCCGCCCCCCACGAAGCCCTGCATTGGCCCACCACGATATTGCTACTCAAACGTTGTTTGTAAGCCCGCTTGGGGGACAGGGGCCCGTCCTGCGAGATGCCCTCGAGGTGACAGTTGCTTGAGCAAGTAGCCGGGTCCGGACACAGGTCCTTGTCCCACTCACCCTCTTTGTAGCAGTTCCTGGGTTGCGGCACATGCCCGGCAATGCAAGACAGCCCTTTCCTCAACGCTCACAAGAAGATGCATCCCTTCAACTTCGAGAAAGTCACAAGCAAACCATACAAACTCCCTTCCGAGTGTTGACAGGAAAGCGGTTGGAATGCAAGTGGTAGTGGCCCTCGCCGAAATTCTAGGGGGTCATCCCACATGATCCATATCTAACGCGGTGTCTAATTTTTTCGATGAATTTTAAGAAAAAACTTTCCGAGCGAAAATCCAAATCCGGGAGTTAGAAACGCAAGTTTTCCAAGTCCTGCGCGAAAGCTAGGATAGAAGTAACAAAAGTCCTACAATGTCGTGCAATAGTAGTAGTGGTGGTGGTAGTAGTTGTCGTATGAGGAAGAAGAAAAGAAAGGTAGGAGTAGGAGTAGGAGTAGGAGTAGGAGTAGGCGTAGGAGTAGGAGTAGGAGTAGGAGTAGGAGTAGGAGTAGTAGTAGTAGTAGTAGTAGTAGTACCAGTACTAGTACTAGTACTAGTACTAGTAGTAGTAGTAGTAGTAGTAGTAGTAGTAGTAGTAGTAGTAGTAGTAGTAGCAGTAGTAGTAGTAGCAGGAATAGTAGGGCTTCCCCCCCCCGGTGCGACTGAGAAAACGCACTTTGGTACGACAGTTTTTCTCGCGCGTTTCGTGCGGGTTTTGGCAGGCGTTCTTTTTCAAGATGTGCAAAACGCATTGTAAAAGCGTCGTTTTGAGGGCTAAAAAACGCGTTTTGAACAACAACATGCTGTAAATACCAGCATTCGCGCTTGAGATTCTCTGGGTTTTTCGTGTGGTTTTTTCGTGGCCCCAACAGACACTGATTTTGAGCCTCGATTTTGCCGAGCTACCCCTAAACCCGAAACCCTAGACCCTAAAGCACACCCTAAAACCCTAAAACCCTAAACCCTGCAACCCTAAACCCTAAACCCTAAACTCTAAACCCTGAACCCTCAACAGCCTTAAACCCTAAACCCATAACCCTCAACCCTAAACATCCCAAACCCCGAAGCTAACCCTAAAACCTTAAACACTACAAGTCCCAAACCCTTTAACCCGGCTGTACTCGCCCGAGATCCTTCAGCTTTAATCCCGCACATGCGAATATATCAAACAAATAGCGAACAATACCCGGTGTTTGCCACGCAGCATGGCTGCATACCAGTCGTTCAGGGATGGAGCGATTGCTGATTGATTGCCTTTAAACATCTGGTCATCGCAGTGAAAACACCGCGGCAGGCTGCTGGCGTGTGCATTTGTCGCACAGCAGCTTTAGGGCTCCCTGGGTCTTGAAGAGGTAGTCTTTGCCACCACCTCTCGCGCTGCATGGGAAACTTACCTTACCAGCCTTACCATGACACGCACACCGAGCCTTGCGTCACCCGGCTGCATGGTGGACAGCAGGGGGAACGGAGCAAGGGCAACGGGTTGTTCTGACACGTGACGTGTGTGCTCAACAGTGCGACGCGCGCACTCCAAACACAGGAATCCCAACGCCGGCTGCGCGCGGGGGCCGCCATCAACAGTAGAACACACAGCGCGGTCGAGTCGCAAGCTTTTTGTGTAGACAAGGTGTTGGGGCAAAGACTGAGGCACTATGCAACCCTGCAAACGGGGAACGCTCGCAAACCACCTCAGGTGACGCTAGCAGCAGCTATGCCATTTTCGCGCAGCTGCTCTAGCATCCCAAGCCGGCTGCAAGCGGTGGGGCCGGCAGTCGAAAGTACACTTCACACAACGTGCTCAAGCTGCAAGCTTTCTTAGTCATGCACAACTCCAGTTCAGGGTATTTGTGAAAAATTAGCATTTATTATGGACTTAGGATTAGGAGTTGTGGGATAGTGGAGTTTCCGGAATTTAGGATTTGTGGGAAATAAGAGCTTATGGATTTAGAATTTGTGGGAGAAAAGACTTTGCAGTTTAAAGGGTTACGGTGTTTTGACGAATTTTAGGGTGTGTGGGGGGGGGAAGAATTTCAAGAATTTTGTATAGGATGAGGTGGACATGATCTTAATTACACCTGAACCGCAACTCAATGATAGTCAAAGACGTTGATGTGATGTTGTTTCGTTTCGAGTTTGTACGCGTTGCTCGTGCTTTCCTACCTGAAGCAAAAGCTTTGTTGGACTAAATGAGGGTTTCGTTCACGCCTTTCAGGGCGTCGTGGGAGCCGCTTCTGGTGCTGCTTCTTCTGTTGCTGCTGCCCGCTGCCGCCCGCTGCTGCCCGCTGCTGCTGCCCTCTGCTGCTGCTCGCCGTCGCCGGCGCCGCCGCTGCTGCTGCTGCGGTGCTGGTGGGGCTGGTGGGGCTGGTGCGCTGCTGGTGCTGGCGCTGGGGTGCCGGTGCTGGTGCTGGCGCTGGGGTGATGGTTTCAGTGCTGGTGCTGGTGGTGTCGTTGTTCATGATAGTTGTCTTGTCATTGCCATTGGTCTTGTTTTTCTTCTTTTGGTTGCTTTTACTGCTCCTATTCTTGCTATGAGTGTTCCTTCTTTCTTGTTGTTCTTCTTGTCTGATGTTGTAGCTCTTCTTTTTGCTGTTCTGCTATCTTCTTAGCTGTTGTTGATTTAAAGCCGGACAGCAAGGGTGTGACGCACGCTCTCTCGTGCAATCCTGGGCTCGTGTACTGTCCGTTGTGGAGCCAGCGCCAATTGGCATCCAGCACCTGAAGCGGCTCAGCCCCTAGCACTCTTAGGGGCTCTGAAAAGAGCAGAGGACGAACAAAAAGCATGTTCGTTCTTACTTTGAGCCCGGATACGGCCGCCTTCATCTCCTGCCGGGCTTGGGGGGCTTGACCCTGATTGTGGGCTCCGGAAGTTTTCAAACTTAGGAATGCTCATTGAACTTCTTGACACGTGGGCTTCAAGTGCTTGAAGCATTTGAAGCCCTGCACAGCCCAGACCCTTCATCTCCTTGATGCAGCCCGAGGCATCGCAAGTCCACAGCGGCAGCTCCTGCCAGCTTCAAAGCAGAAGAAGAGCTAAGATCTCATTTCGCTCTCCCCCTCGCTGCCTTTCTCCGCTCTCCGTCTGCCTTTCTGAGTTGCTTCCCTGAGCCGACGCCGGCAGCTCCAGGGTCTTCCCAATCCACTTAAGCCCAGTGGCCCAGTCCCACTAGAAGCACAGATTACCACCCTCTCTCTCACACCATCTGTTTTGACATGTTCCACGTGCTTGCCCAAGGGCTGAGCTGCATGACATCACGCGCACAGCGGAGTGCAAGTGTTGTTTGCAATGACCGTTCACTACCATTCGCTTCTTTCTCTCTCGCGGACGGTCCGGCGGGGACTCGTGCACGTGGGTCCCGGGCTTCTGAGCCAGGGCTTCAAGAAGGAGACCCAGTGCCAGCCACGCCGTTGAAATACCTCATATGAATGTGGGGTCGCAAAAAAATTATGCAGGACGATGAAAGCAGGCGGTGACAAGCGCCCATAGCCTGAGAGAGGGGCAAACCATGACGGGACTCAGAGCGGAGCCGGGACACGAGCAGGGACAACTTCTCAGCATAAAATGCTGCGACAGAAGTTGGCACCGCGATCACTGCGATCAACAATCTTCCTTGTCATGACTGAATATGACCTATAGCCCCGTCATGACCTGATCACCGACAGTGACCTAGGCGCTGCGCACAAAAATCGTCAAATCGCAGCTTTTATCTTCGCAGCCTTCGCACGACTCACCAAGGCACTCAGCACGCCTCAAAATCACTTGAGTCGAGTGCCGACAAGGTTGCTGCAAGGAATGAGCACCAGAGAAGCTGGGCGAGCGAACACACTCTGTCTGCTGGTTGGATGTGCCTTGGCTCTGAAAAAACAGTAGTGACGTGAAGGGCACGCGCTGTGCAGCAAGCGAAGTCTGGCAGCTGGACAAAAGGGAGTGTCTTCGCTCGTCTCCGCTCTTCGCGTGTCTTCGCTCGTGGAGTGACGCCGAGTTCGCTCGTCCGCGCTCGGTCTGCGCTCGGTCTTCGCCTGGTCACTTGTTTTCGCGTCCCTTCGCGTCTTCGCATCTCTGCGCCGATGTCCGTACGAACGGAAGTGCAGCTAGCCGTGATTTCCAGCTCTGTACGGATGTACTTCTTATTTCGTAGCAGTTACGAGTCGTGTACGACATACGCCTAGATATTGATGAATACGGATGCACACTGTAGATGTGCAAATTGGTGTTGACACTGAGCGTCCTGCCTTGCAGCTGCAGGTTGCTCGATAAGTCCTTGCATCGAGTGGCAGAGCTTTCTGGCTTGTTGCGCTGAGGAGGCTCCGCCGCCTCGCGGTCTCTTCGATGCTGGGTGGTGTTGTAGATCTCCTCTGCTCCGCGGACTGTGGGAGAGGTGCCAGGTGGGCATCCAACCGCACTGCATCTCACAATCACCCTGAGGTCATCGGCTCGGAGAAGCTTCTCGAAGCACAGCTTGATGTTCGCACCAGTCACAGCGCTCGCCTTCGCAGACAAGCGGGTGCAGGCCCTGCGCAGGCTGGTTCCCGAATGAAACCACAAAACCCCCTGGCAGGTCTCTGGCAAGCGACAAGCCTCTTCGAAGAGAAGCCCCTGCTGGGATGCAAAGTCAGCAGCTGTGTCGAAGTCAACCTGGGCCAAAAAGGCCACAAAGCACTGCCAAAAAAGGCTGCCGAAACGCCCCTTGCTACTGGCACTGACCTGCCGGTCACCAGCATGTTTTTCTGCCAGGTCCACCTGTGAAAGTCGCTGCATGGCATTGCGTGGCTGTCCTCTGAGTGCACGGAAGGTGCGCAACAACGCGGGGGGGCAACCGGCCTTGTTTCCGACCAGCATGATGACGATGTCTGGCTCTGCGTTTGAACGCAGCTCCTCCATCCATCTCTGGCCTTGAGACTCGCAATAGCGCCCCTTCCCTCTCAGACAAGAGCGACTGAGGTGCCGGGCAGCTCTTGAAAGTGGCTGGCTTTGTGATGTCGTACACGAGCAATGCCTGGCAAGAGCAGTGCAGCCCGAAAGCGCAGCGGAAGTACATCGGAAGATGGCCCTTTAAGCCGCCCCCAACATCCCAAAGATCCAGTTCGTTCTCCTCCTTCGGGTTGTGTGGAGAAAAGGGAACAAAACTTCAGGCTCTGAGGCAAGTACTACCATGCTTGGCCATGCGACATACCATGAAGCAGCCCTGCTGATCAGCAATCTCTCAGAGTCTCCCAGCTTTGCAGAGAACGCGGCAGAGCCGTAGGCAATCGTAGGCACAAATCGAGGCTCGCATTAGCTGCTAACACAGCACAACCATTCGCCCCGGGCTTTGCTCTCATCGCGACTGCCCAGCTGCCGTGTGAGGCGCGGACTCCGCCTCGCTGCGCGCCGGGGGGGCCGCTCCTCGGAGCCCTCTGCGCTTCTTCCTCTTTCCTTCCATTTCTTCTCCGATTGGCAAAACAAAATCCAAGCTGCACACACCCCCCCACTGCAGCTTTCGCGACTGCCACAGACATGGACCTTAGAGCGGAGCGTCGCCCCAAAACCAGCGAACAACAAATCAATAGGGGCAAAATCGCAATAGGTGCAGAAGAGGGATGCAGGCCGGCAGGCCGCCCACACCGGATTTGCGCACTCCGATTTTTCGATATTCTTCGATATTCTTCGATATCTCCCTTAAACATGCACGAGTGACGCCAACCGCCCGCCTGTAGTGCGCGCTGGTGATGGCTCGATACCTCAACGAGTATTCTCTCAGAGAGGCAAGAGGTGCTTGGTTGAGGGCCTGCCTCTCCTGGCCAGCTGTGTCCCAAATCTGGGCCTTCACCGTACCTGCAATGCCCGCGCGATCACCAGTACAAGTACTTGACATCATGAGAGCCGAGAGCGAGCCGCGGGAAGCGCACATCCTGCGTCGAGGCTCACGGTCCGTGTTGCAAACTCGACGCCGATCGTGGCCGTCGGCCTCGCATAAAAAAATAAAAAAACTCTTGGACAATTGGAAGCAAAACGTGAGAGACAGCAGCACGCTCTTGGGCGGAAGTCACTCGGGCTGGCACGCTTTGGGCAACGTGCCCTTGATGTATCGCGACCTCGATTCTTCGAGGGAACCGCTGTGTTGAAAAGGTGGCGAAATGGTTGCGCCAAGTGGGGGGAGCATTTCTCTCAAATTGGGCTCGGACAGGATGTGCGTTTTCCCCACGGTGGCATCCTCAAGTGGGACAGGATACACATGACACACAAGCTTTCGCAATTGATCGGAACATACTCGCATGCATGTGAAGGAATCTGAGGCGGAGACACCAACAAGCACAAGCTTGTAAAGATGGTCGTAGTCTTCCTCAAGAAACGAGAAGCCCTCTTCTTCGAAAGCCTCTTCTCTGAAAAGAGACCAGGAGAGCCCGCCTCGCCGATCATGTGCGCCCATGTGAGCTGCACGCAGATCTCTCGAATCCAACAGAGTCACCGAAGAGTAAACTTAACAACCACTTCCTCAGAGTCAATGTAGCTGCTACATTGCTACACTACACTTTACATTTCCCATCATTGCGCTGAGATAGCCTCGCTGCTTACTCACACTAGTTTGGCACGCAGCCGGCTTTCTGATGCGTCTTTGGATGGATGTCTCCACTGTTCCATGAGCCTCTGCCCATGCAGCAGTGAGCAACACCAGCAAGATCACACAGCTCGCAAGCGTCATCTACAAACGAGCACCAGGTCGAAGCCCCGGAGGTGGCCACAGGCGGCCTGTACCCGAAAGGCCCTCGTCCTTGCTCGGCACTGAGTCTACTGACCTGACTGAGTCTACAAAAAAGAGTCAACTGAGAGCTCAGGGTGCCCCACACACCCTACTTGCACCCTACTGGCTACGGCGAGCTAAACAGACGAAATGCCTTTTTGTTGAGACTCGGCACAAGAACCCTTTGTTTGGCCGTGGTGTGAAACCGCGAAGCCGCACGGAGAGCCCACAGAGACTGCAGTCGCATTGGACTGTCAGAGTGGAGGCAGGTCTTCTCGCTTTGGAAGCCTTGGACTCGCGTGACGCTCTCTCCCTTGGGGCCTTGGGATACTCCAAGAAGATGTCACCAGAACCGAGGCAACCACCCGGGAGCGTGTTGCCCATCTACAAAGCGAATGCCCGGGTCCTGCCAGGCGACTATGGTCGCAAAAGGGACGTGCTTTGTGATGCAGCGATGTCGCTGTGCAAAATCCTCCTGCGACCACTGTTGTTCAAGCTCACCTGCGCAAAAAGGGGCTTGCTCGTGGCCCAAATGCACGCACACACACACAAGGGGGCGGGGCCTTCTCCTAGGTCACCTTCAGCTTGGGCATGGCTTTTCCCTCTGCCCTCTTTGCCCTGCGCATTTGATTGCACTCGGAGAAGCATCGCAGAGGCATTGCCCATTGGTGCAGCCCCCATTGGACATTTTGGGGTGCAGAGCCTCAGGTGCCTTCTCCTGCAATGCGTCCTGCGCCATCCTCTTCAGACCTAAAAGGAACACGAAAAGCAAACTCAGAACCGCCAAGCTCGACACCGACGAACTTATGGCGACTGAAGTTGTCACCAATTCATCATTTCTCAAGGACAGCTCTCGCAGTGCACTTGAAACTTTCACTGGACTTCCTTGTGAACAGGAAGCCCGGCTGGATTTTGAAGGTGAGTCGGATGTCCATAAGACCATAAGATGAGAAAGGAAGATGCTCATTTGACTGTCATGTCCTTGTGGCTTAGCAGGCTTCGACTGGATAGTAGAACAGCAGGGCCAGGATCGAATGTACCTCTAGGAATCTGCGATGAGAACCGCTTGGGGAACCAAGTGAGTGAAAAGCCAAAACACCATTCAGCGCCATTCAGCCGAGCGACGAGACGGTTTCGAGGACGGCGAGCGCGATTTTGTCCAAGAAGCGAGAGCAGGCTTCGAGAAAGACGTGTGAGTTCTCGTGAGTTCATTAATGAGTTCATCTGAGTCCCACTTCACTCCTGGAGTTTTCAGTTTCACTACAAAACCAACCCCAAAAAAAAAACCTTGCCAGCAAAAACAAAAAGAGGAAAAGATATGACAGGCATAGGATTCTCCGGCAGATGGTTTGGATACAGGAAACCTTCCAGCGCATGCCCACATGGGCCTCTCATGGACATCGTCCGTGCATACTGCTGAAGACCTCATAGACTTCCTCTAACTTTTATGGACGCCCTCTTGATTCCATGTACCCTGTATCGGGATGAACCCTCCTATGCACCCCGTAGTGGACCCACTTTAAACCCCTTTTGGACCCCCCCCAGGCCGAAGGGATCTTTCTAGTGGAAGTCCTGTCCCTGAGTCGAACTACACTCTTGTCACTGGGGCGTGCAGGTTCTTGGTCCTACATCTGGTAACCAAAGGCCGCAAACTGAAAAGGCCACAAAGAAATGCTTGATTTCGTGCAAAGGAAGCACAGTATTGTACGACGATTGATTTCATCATGTGGCTTGGTTCACATAGCTGCGTTTGAGCTTGCCAGGGCCAGCATGAGTACAGCGAAACGAATGGGAGAAGGCATCTCCATGGGCGGGAAGTCAAGTACCCGCAACAAAAGTGCCAGCTTTGCATGTATACAACTTGTATACAACGAACAAGGCAGGGCCCCTGGCGCTCTTTGGCCTCATCACCTGCCAGCTCGACCTCGTCGGTGGTGTCCTGCGGCGACCACAGGTGACATCAGGTCAAATCAAGATATGTTGAACATTGTTGAACTTTTTCCTGGGACTCTTCTTGAACTTCTTTTGAACCCGAGAAGGTCGCATGCAGTCTGCAAAAACGAAGCAGTCGTTCCTTGTACAGGCAGATGGTGATGTTGTCAACCCCGTCCGCCTGCCGCCCAAACCTTGCATCAGAGGCCCACCAAGCAACAGGAATGTCGAAAAGTCAGTGAAACGGGGGGAGAGGGGGAGGGAGGTCCGAGCACTCAGCCCTGCTTCCAAGCTGTGCTGATCCTTGGGTTTTTGGGAGGCTCAACACATCTCCAACACATGCGCCGCAGCTTCTCTCAGCTCTGACACGCAGGGAATCCGAGGCCTGTGCCCTCTTGGCCAGGCAATCCTCGGCAACACGACCCCACCCACCGGTGTTTCCATTGCCAATTGAAGCGCGGAACTTCTGTCAATTGCGTATGCAACATCATTATGAAAAACAGCTCTCAGGTGGCGCATGGCGCATACTGCTAGTTTCGTGCACTGATTCCTATCTTGACACGCGCGGGCGCGGAGCTCAGGCTCAGGATTCTGCCGCTGGAGTGCGGAGTTCGCCTTTACGCGGTCACGCGTTGCGGGGTATGCTCGCCCAAGGGCAACTTTTCTCGCTAGGTCCGCTAGGTGGGGGCTTGGGCCCAACGTACCAACGTGTAAAGAGGGTACCAGGGTTGCCGTAGTGCTTTGGGAAGCCTTGGCAGAACTTGGGGCCAGAGCCACGCCCAGAGATGTCTAGAGCATCTCTCCGCCCTGAGCAAAAGTATATGTGTAAATGAGCACACATCTAGCATCATCTAGGCGTATGATTTTGCATGCAAGAGTGTGATCACCAGGCTTTGCAGAGCGTGGCGGAGCGTACTTAGCGTTGTGGTCAGAAGGCTATGCAAGGACTTTGCTGTTGTTGAGAAGTTTGGCGGGTTCCTGGAGCTTACGGTTCGCGGCAGTCGTAGATCGACAAGCAGAATCGGATTCGGCAAGGGGAGCGAGAATCCGGTGAGATTCGAACGACTCGTCGAACGATTCGTGTGCAATGCGAGCCGATGCGCGCCGTCTCGGCTATGTCTGAGGAGCTTCGGGATGCGAAACCACAGCTTTTCAACCCTCGGTGCACTGATGTACACTGATGTACACTGTACCCGTTAACCCAGAACTGTCCATGAACCGAGAACGGTTCGCACAGAAACGGCCGCGCAGTTCCTTCTTGCTGCGCTTGGCCCGCAAGACCTCCGTGAGAAATGCACTGCACTGCTGCAGGGAGCTTCTTGCGAACCTTTCTCAGCTCTCCCCCGAGACTTCTCTCTCCCGAGAGCTCTCCGATTATGACCAAGAGGCGCAAACGCCGGTCCGGCGTTTCGAACATGCTGGCAGGGAGCCGGGGCCTCCGGTTCTGAGCATCGCACAGTAATCAGATCACATGAGTAGGGGCACCTCCTTGCACCCTTTTCAGCACCTCTTGTGACACTCTTCGTGACACTCGGGCACAGGCGGCGTGGAGGTATAGTAGCCTTGAAAACGGCGAGACATCAAGAGCCGTAACAAGCCAGAGCGGTTCCAGCTCTGTCCCTTCGCTTATATCCTATATTATGTGGACTTTGTCAAACTCATTCTCATGATTGATACCAGTATTGGACACCATGCGTAACTCTTCTCCGTGTAAAAACCCAACACTTGCTTCTTGCTTTGCCTCAGACACCGTTTTAGCAGAAGCTCGCGGAAACACGGGCGCCTGGAAAGCCGAAGAAGTGGATGGCCGGAATCGCCAGAAAAGAGGCATCGCCTCGGGCCGGGCCGAAAGGATGACCTGCCTTTTTTGGAGCTTTCTGCTGACGTTGCAACTTTTCAGTAGTGGGGCCGAAAAGGTTGGAGTTGTGCTCCATCTCCGGCGGCGTCACCAGAAGCTTCCGCGCACGGCCTCAGTGGCAGAGTCTGCACTTTGGAGATCTTTCGTGCACACCGTGGCTAACCCCTCCGTTTTGCGGCCTTCCTCTCGGAATTTGGGCCCCGGCAGCGCTTGAAGAGCTTCACCGAGTGCTCCACGGGGATGAGCCCTGCCGCAGTGGAAAGCGTGCGAGATCGTGCCGAGAGCTCGATAGAGCGTGCGAACGAATACGTAACATGATGCACATGCGTGCGACAGTACAAGCTGCACTTGCTCCACTGACCCATCACAGCTTCGTAGACATCGCTTCCTCGTCTGGGTTTCTGTTTCTTCGACGGTTTGGCTGAGCGCAGCTTGTTTGCTCTTTCTCAGCAGTACGTGCAACCGAGCTCTCACATGGCTCGTTTCAGTGTGTGATTGTCTCGAAGCTGCAAACATCAAATCCAGAAAAAACTCGCAAATCAGAAGAAAAAAAAACTCCTGTCCGTGCACGATGTGACATTTAAAGTCACCAAAATCCCCTCTGTCAACTTGTACAGCGAAAGCCAGCTTGTAACTTCTACGAGAAGACATGAGCAGACAACTGCTGGCACCATCGGACTCGCCGTGGATGAAGAGGGTTGAGCAAGACCTGATCGGAGTGCCCCTGCGCTTTGCAGCTTCGCAGGCTTCGCATGGCGAACCGGGATGCCGGCACGTTGGCGATAGTCTTGTGGTTCGGAAAACGCCTCCGTCGCATGGAGAGCTGGACATTCCGGGAATGCCGGGGACGCTGCCACTCCTCCCTGATTTCCCAAGCCACCGGCTCTTGAAACGCCATGGCAAAGAACCGACCAGCAATACTTTGCACCTTAAGAATTTTCAGGCCTTCATTCCTTGCAGATGAAGAATGAGGTTGTCAAGACCCGTCAAAACATCCAAGCTGCCGCAGCTCGAATAGATGAGAAGGCGGACACCAAGATCAGGCCTCTCGGTGCACAGTGGCAGAAAGGTATTCTCAGCATTTCTCGGCTCACGAAGCCGCGCCTCCGACCGGAAACTGGGATGCTAGGAAGACAGCGGGTCCTCACGTGACAACGTGCCAGTGGCATCTAGCCGTACCTGCGGTGTGTCGGCATGCTTCTCATGGAACTGTGTCTCTTGGGCCCTCGCCGCTGCCCAAAGACCTGCCGAATAAGACTATCCTTGCCAGCGCAAAGATGAGTGGTACGCGCAGCAGCACAGGCTGGTCCACATCTGACAACCAAGCTCGATGCTGCGAATATCTGACACCAAGCACATCGACCTTACAATTACAAGCAGGGGAACAGGACCTGGGAACTGCAAGTGCTTGCTCCTCGAACAACGGGCTTAGGACAAGGCCAGAAAGCGAAATGTGGTGAGCGCCACTTCGCAGACACCGTCCTCAGGAAGCATCGCTCACCACAAGCACCAAGAGTTTCCTGGAAATCACAGACCAGACTGCAAGACAGACCATATGCCACAGGGCCAAACCTCGGACGGCTCGACATGGTGCAAGAGGCCATAGCCTGTCACAGAGGGCAAGTTGAGAGGCATTTGCTGACAGCTCACTTGCAGCCTTGAGTAGAATCAGAGCAGAACAGTTGAACAGAGCAGCCTGGGTACTCAGCTGCAAGCACATTCACCTGCCCAAGCATGAAAGAGCGTCGATACCCTGCAGTACCTTCTGCTCGGCCTTGAACTGATCACGCATGTGCTTCAAGATGGCGAACGACATGCCCAAGTCCTCCGCGTCTTTCTACGGTGTCTTCCGAGTCTCAGAGTCTTCTTCTTTCTTTCGTCGCTCCATTGAATGCGGCACAAAGAGCTGCATTGCAAAGACTTGTGCCGCCTCTGCGTTGGCATGGAAGAAGAGGATGACTGTTGCTGCTTTAGGCGCTGGAAACCACCTTGCAAGCGTGTCGCAAGCGCACCCGCACGTCCGCACGAAAAAAAAAAAAACATCTGCCGGTTGTGGTCTTGTGGTCTGTTTTGAGGAGCTGGCAGGCAAGGGATGCCATCCTGCAACGAAAGGGCTTCGCAGAACACGCCCCTCACGCCCCTCACGTGTCCCGACCTGCACGCCCGGATCCTTGACCTCAGCTGAGGAGTGTGTCATAAAGAATAAGGAATATTAGGAATATTCGGAATACTAGGAATATCAGGAGTAGAAAGGATAAGAAAGGATAAGAAAGGATAAGAAAGGATAAGAAAGGATAAGAAAGGATAAGAAAGGATAAGAAAGGATGAGAAAGGATGAGAAAGGATGAGAAAGGATGAGGGATACAAACGAAACAGAAGGAGTGAGAGGCCTCCGAACAAGGAGCGGCACGAGTCTTAAAAGCGCGCCCCCGCTTCTGGGAGCCCCGGGCCCGGTCGGGGGAGATCACGGCGTTCCAGGGGATCCAGCACAGGTGCCTCCAAGCAGTTTAGGGCTTAGGGCTTAGGGTTTAGGGTTTAGGGTTTAGGGTGAGCTCCTGGCGAAGTCAGCTCTCGAAGCGAAGAGCAGAGAGCAGCAGAAAGAGAGCACAGCTTTCCGCTTCCCCCTCTCCCTCCGACCTTCCTTGTTGTTTTTCTCTTTATTCCGTACCTATTCCTTACTTATTCCTTATGTCACATCAAGCGTCTTCAACGAGGAGAGAGAGGAAGCGGGGGAAGAAAGAGTCAGAGGGCCTTTCTGAGGTAGAGGAAGGGCGTCAATGACCCGGCATCAAAGATTGCAAATATTGCATCACAGAATGGCCTCCGATAGGACTGCGGACCGTAGGATGGGTCCGGAGCCGGGAACACGAAGCGGTTCCTTTCTGGGAAGCAGCGCCGAAGCCAAAAAGCCAATCGGCAGAACATTCCCCGCGCTCAATTACGGCGCTTCAATCTGAGAAGATGATGGAAACGACTCGTCTCTCGAAAGCACAGGGGCTCCGACCCCCAGCTAGCCCCAACCATGGCGCAGCCAGTCCTGGCACTCCATCGCCCCCTCCCCCCCACCACACACAGCCTGATGCGCTCCCTCTTGCACTCCGCTGCAATCTTCTTAGCTTCTGCTTGGCGACTTTGTCCTACTTGATGGGTGCTTCGATCTTTTGGATCTTGAATGGTTTTGAATAGTAGAATTTGACTGTCAGCATCACAGGAAGCCTGCAAAGTCCAACGAGCACAGTAACAACTCACGAACCCCTCACGGAAAATGGTGCCGCGCTGCCCCTTTTTGCCCCCTGCACCTCGTGGGCCAGAGCTCTGCTCCGCTGCATCGTGGACGAAGCTTCTTGTGCGCTGAGCCGCTTTTCTTCTGGTTAGCAACGTGTGTCACCGTGTTAGCCACAGCATGTGTCAACATGGGACATCTCACGTGTTGCTGGACTGTACCAAGCTGCTTACAGTAAAGCTTCTGCATCTGCATGATTTCCTGCATGTTTCTGCATGGTTCTGGGTCTGCAGACTCCGTGACCTTGTCCTCTACTTATTGAGCCTGCCAGACCCTGACTCCGACATCTCCGAGCCGGCACGCAGTGGGCGAACGTGTAAAATGCTGACATTTGCGGACTCCCTATTCTTGAATGCCAGAAAGCCAGTACAGAGGCTGAACTACAGTGGAAGTCTAGTCGAAGCTGCCACTGCTGCCACCAGCACACGCTGTCGCACTTCTACTGCAATCTCTGCGCAGAGAACAAGCTAATGTATGAGCAGGTCATGCTCCGTCATCCACAGGGGCAAAACGTTTCTAGTTAAGCTTGAGGCCCTCAATGAGGGACAATGACTCCGCAGCATGCCAGCCGCGGAAAACAAAGCATGCAACATTTCATGGTCGTGCTCTGCGTGCGGCTGCGCTGCGTCGTCGCCTGCTCTTTCTATGATGGCACCGAGGAAGCCCGAGATCTGCCGGCGCCGTACGCTGACTCTACCCGGTGGACCACCATGCCGAAAGCAAAATGTCTGTGAGCTTGCCAGCCATTGATGGCACAGACGACTGCAGAAAAACGAAGCTTCGCTTAACTCTGCGGGGGCCACTTTTCCATTCCAGCATCAACACGCAACCTCCCAGCGCAGACTGTACCGAAACTCTTGCAGCCATTGGCCAACTGGCGTGGGAGGTGACACAGCCCAGTTGCCCAACTGGGCAGGCATCATTGTGTCCCCGTCCACCAGGACCACCTGAGGACCAAGGACCCTCCCTGGGCGCTTTCCATGAAACAGCCAGCAACGTCCCGACGCCTCGTCGCAAAATCTCCGCACCAAGGTGGTCCACACGACGCAGCGACCTTGGGCACGCATACGAACTGTTATAGCACTTTGAGGAAATATCTTCAGCACGTAGCGCAGGCAACAGTCAATGAGCGGCACCGGGGCCCGCGCCAAGCCACCAGAAGTGGACGTCGACCGCCTAAAGGCTACATCAACTCCACCATGTCCATAATTGGTGCTCTGAGACAGGAGACGCTAAGACCATGACAATCTCTCGCGGCACCTCGGGCGCAAGGAATGGCAGGTCCTGCAGGAACAATCAGCGTCACGCGTGATCCGCGACGACGACGACGAACGCGGACTCGAAAAACGCCGCCCCTGCCTCTGCCGGTGTCACCGGTCGCGCTGGCTCCGCACCTGAGACAACACCCAATCACGATTGCATTGACGAAGCGTTCTTTCAATATGGGGAGGGGGAAGTGTGAGGGGGTGGGCGGGAAGAGGGCCCCACCCCCCAAAACAAGAGGAACGCGGGCTCATGTTCATGGATCCCCTCAGCGCTGCAAACTTAGGTCGAGACGCCCCGTCGTGTGCGCCTCATAGCGGCACTGCATCTATACAGTGTCTGTGTTATCCCCAAAAGCCACTATCTGATTATCTCAATAGTAGGACGGCGGCGGCCAGGTCATCTGCGCAGGACGCGCAGAACGTGTGGCCGCATGGGACCAGGGCCACGACGCCGTCCTTCTCCTGGCAGACACAGTTTCGAACGCGCAGTTACAAGTTGGTTTCTAAGGCGTCAGTCCTCAAGGCACAGGGGACACGGCTCGTCCCCAGTTACCCCAAAAAGCCGCACCTCTTGAAGACACATGCAACATCAACGTGGCACAGAAACTCCCCTGAGGTCCGCGCAATCTGCGTCGCTGTGAGGCGGCAGTTCGGGCACTGCATCCTCACACGTCTACCGTTGCTATAAACCCTAAACCCAGGGCTACATCAGCCCTCCCGCCCTAAACCCTACACCCTAAAGAAGCCATACTTTAAGCACTGCGCCCCTGTGGTGCGAACGATAGGATGCCGCTTTAAAAATTTGCACACGCGCCAACTACCATGGCCTCTTCTGCGTCACTCGACGGCGCAAACGGTCGCACAAACAGAGCCGGGACTTTCAGGACGCTAACCAAAACGGCTGCGAAGATGTCATGAGTGCGCTGACGGGCAGCTTGCGCATGAAAGAAGTTGATGCAGCGCATGCAACTTGCACATATGCGAAACAATTTTCACGAAGAAAACCCGTCAAGTTCAAGTGAAACCTAAGCCTCTCAGAACTGCGAGCTCCTCTGGCCGAAGCCGGCGCAAACTGCCGAGCGTCCTGGATGAATTGAACCGGTAACAACTCATTAAATGAATTTCTAACCAAAACAATATCGGAAATGACCCAAAACCATATCGGAAATCCAGAAATGCAGGAAAGCCAGATCGTTCAATCCAGCTTCCCATGCTGTACTTCTGAAAAGTGCACCGCAGTGCCCATGAATGTTTTCAAAGCTTGATGCGGAATATCTGCGCTGTACCGCCACAATCCGAGCGTGAAGCCTCGTGCGCAAGCACCAATCAGGCCATAACCCGCACGTCGAGACATCATGCTGATACATCGCATCAGCCCCTACCATTCCGAGAATTGCTGTGAAGCATCTGGAAGTCCACTGCACTCATAGGCCTTGCGGGGGTGGGGGGGGGGGGGGTTCTTGGCATTCTTCGCCCGGAGCGCTCCAGGCAAGTCAGAATGAGACCTGGAGCGACGTTTCCAAAAGATGCCCCACGTGGAGCTTGTCATGGTGAGGCTGGCGCATGGGTAGCGGCATCAACTCGGTCCTCAACCTGATACCGACACGCCGCACCAATCAACCCAACCCAACGGCAACTACAAACGAATGGCAGCGACACGACTACAACAAAAGGCATGGGCATCACTCAGCGACACTCAGCTTTCCAGTGGCCTCAGCAAATGGGCATGTGAAGCCTGGACGGTGCTGCAAAAAGCAGAAGTGCAAAAGACATGAGCCGTGGCTTGGGCCAACTGCAGATGCAGCGGATTGCTGCGGCATGACCTGCGCTTTCCGGAACCTTCGGGAAGGAGAGCAGCTATCTCAGCGCTGAGCGCTGACTCAGCGTCCGAGCGGATGGCAAGCCCCGTCTCTGACCTTTCTTCTCTCGCAGAGCGCACAGAGTGCGGATTCCTGCGGATGACTCATTGGCAGCCTACGGTAACATCTGAAGCTTTGCAGCTGTTTGGGCAAAAGCAGTCAAAGAGCAGACTGTTGACCAGCCTGCCGACTTAGATACAAAGAGATATGTGCCAAATTAAATCGGCCGGCTACAGTTCGGCTACAGCCCCCATCAGTTCCGCGCGTAGCGGTACCTCACCAACAAAACGCTTCAGTCACGCAGAAGAAGGCTCCCAAAACAAGACTCGGGACCATGGCAGGGGCCCGAGCTCTCCCAGGGAAGGGGAGGGGGGGGGGGCACTTTGGATGGGGATGCTCCTCGTCTGAGGACGCGTTTTGTTGTTGCCTAGGGGCCGAGACACACACTTGGCGCACAGCACAAACTGCAAGACCGCCCGAGGCGCCGCAAGAGGCCATTTAAGACGCCCACATCTCCCTCGCACGCGCTTCGGCTTCCTCGTAAATCGCCTGCAAGTCCTGGCGCACCCAACGTCCCCGGTGCAAATTCCGTGGCTCTCAGTGTTCTGGCATTGTTGCGGCTTCCATCTTCGTCTCCTTGTTGTGGGCTCCATGCTTGGCGCCGCCGCTTTGCGTCATGTCTTCGGCGTAGCAGATGAGCCTCAGCCCGGAGAGCAAGTGACTGAGGAGGCAAAGAAGCCAGAGAGCATTGTTTCGCCCTCTTCGGATGTGGGAATACGTGTGGCATCATCACAGTCTCCACGCTTTAAACTCAGAAGGCAGAGCCATGCAGAGCAGTTGTGTTGCTTTGATTCGCCATGATGCAGTGTGTCGGAGGTCACATCGAAAATTGCCATGAAGGACCACGCCTCGGGAGCTGGATAAATCTCTGTGGTCGCAGGTCGCATCGCAAAGGATATTTAAGTCATCTTACTGAACTCGATGGAAAAGCCCCCTAACAGTTAGAATGCGCCAAAGGCACCACGAGGAAGGCGAGAAATGCCGACAGCGCGACGGCAACTCCAGGATTTGGAATCTCGGGGCTCTGCAAGTGTCACAGTCAAAGACATCGTCACAGAGTGTCTGTCAGTGAGAGTCTCAGCAGCTTGTCAACAATCAACCATAATCAACCCAGCCGGACTGGCGCTGATTGGCCCCGGGCATAGGACGAGCTCGTGACGCTCTCGTACTTGTCAGTTGAAAGCCTGAGGGAGCAAAAAAACAACATACCGACTTGCTCTCCCGTTTGCACTACAAGCCGCTCTCCATATCTCCGGGGCAACTTCTGCCTCTGAACCCTACCCCGGCAACTTCTAGACTGCGTGGTCGATGAGTTGCGGGCAGCCAGGCAGACACAAGCCCACATGATGCAGTGATGGCGGCCTCAAGAAAGGTCGGATTCTCTAAGTTCTGCAAGCAGATCGGCCTGACACTCAGCCCGCATCCATGCCCACAATCTGGAAGATGTATGTGGCCCCTGAGCACGTCGAACAACTGGGGAACAGTCTCGAATCCCCCAAGGCTTCCGCCCGAATGCCGTGAACCTCGTGCACGCTGACGCTGTTTGAAAGGCCCGAGCTGACATGTGAAAAGCCCTGAAACTCGAGCTCCAGCGTTCTGGAAAGCTTTGGAACGTCGTAAAGCACATCACAGGACTGCTTCTGCTGTTGTGATCTGAGGCCGCTGGCCATTGAGAATGGCCATGGCGGCACCGTGATCTGGCCAACATTTGCAAAGCGATCGACGGCGCTAATCCCAGAACTCGACTTTCTGAGCACCCGTCCGATCATGATCTTGGCGATGCTCTGCCTTTGAAGAGACAACCCCAGATGCCAAGCGGAAACCGGGTCCCGGACCTTCCCGCCACTTCCTGCCACTTCCCGCCACTTCCCGCCGTGGCTGAGAGTGCTCATATGCCAGGTCCCGGGCAGTGCGCCGCAGAAGTTCTTGGAGGTCAAGGCGATGTCAATATAAACCTCAGCACGGAACAAACTTCGGAAACAGAGCCGAACCCGTAGAGGCTTCTGCGAACGAGTGCCCCTTTCAAAGAGCTCTGAGGCTTGGCACGTTTTTGTTGACAAACTGGATGACTCCCTCTAAACACCTCTGCTCTGTGCTTTAAGGCGAAGACACAAGAACAAAGCAGCCGACACACAGCCACAACATGACAACCGTTTCGCTGCGGGGGATGGCGCCTTAAGCTGTGCCTTAAGCACTCTAAGCAGAAAAACATGCCCCCCCCCCCCCCCCCCCCCCGTTTTGTTTGAAGGGGTTCGCTGGCTCGCTGCGTAGCAAGCTGACAAGAGGAAGACGTCCACGACAAAAGAGAACTTAGACCAAGCAAACCAGGCAAGATGCAAAATGCACATCCGCTTGCCCCGTGCAGCCCAAACCGGGCCTGCTCGACGACCGGTCCGACCACTTGGGCATTTACACGCTTGAATGAATCTCTCATGTTGTGGTTTTGTGGCTTCTGAATTTCTCTTCGTTGGCGAACATTCTAACACTATTGCAGAGCAACCTTTGGAAAGCACCGATTCCGCTGCAGCACAGCGGGCGCCTTGTTGCATTGGCCGCGCCTTCTCAGCACGGCAAGCCACTAGTCGCGACAGCCAACTCAATCCAGAGCTGGTCCTCCGACGCGTTGAGAATTACAAAGCTGGCCTTGTGACCAGCTCAGGATTGAGTTGGTAGTTTCGCGACTAGTGTGGCTTGCCGTGCTGAGAAGCGCACTGCTTGTCTCAGTGAAAGCTTCTGTCTGAATCGGTGGAACATGTCTTCGCCGAATCAGATGTCAAGTTCGTAAGCAGGCGATGCAACTTCCGACTGAACATCACTCTTGCTGTTGTGGTGCCTGATCAAGTAACGCAACTCCTTAAGCCTCAAGCATTAAGCACATGCACCTGAAATGACTGATCTGTCATCGCTGCTTCATTCTCATGATCTTCCAGGTACCCCGCTGCCTGTGCATCGAGCATAAACAAGTATGCACGAAAGCTCCCTGCCAATACAAACTTCCCACTTTGCTGGTTTACCTGCGAAGGTCGGGGGGCTGCTTGAGTCTGCTTTTTAGAACCCCCCCCCCCCCACAGTATAAGTCTTGAGCCAACACAAGCCGGCATGATTGATGTCTGGCTCCCAAGTTGAGAGGGGTGTAGGGAAGTATTGTAAGCAGCAACAAGAGCAGCAATTAAGAGCAGCAGCAGCAGCAGCAACCGCAAAACGGCAACAGCACGTCCAGCTGAGGCACTGGCCTGCAACAGCAGAGGATGGTCGAAATGCAACACGTGGCCACCTTGTTCATCTCGCCTCCCTGACAGCAGATCTTTGCAAGTGTCTTCAAGAACAGAATGTTCCACTGTAAGTGCCCAAACAACGACCTCCATGCTCTTCTTCTCCACCCATTCCAGGATTCTTTGAATTAACCTGGGACAGGAAGTGCAAGCAGCTCCAGCTGGACTTTCCTCTGGTGTGTCTAAGAGCCCTGCTCCAAGACGGCGATGAGAGCAGAGCCAAAGGCAAGTGATCCAGTGTGGTACCACAGCCCCACACCTCACATTCCGACAGGCAAATTAGGAAAAAGCGGAAAAGAAGCCAAGTTTGGTTGAGGACCGCACGGACTCCCTCACAGACGCTGCAGGCGGCCACAGCCTCTCCACTCTGTCAATCAACCACTGAGCACATCTGCTTGGTAAAGCCGGTCACAGGCTTTCAAACGAGAAGCTTGAGTCGAGTTGCCATGAACGAACTGCATTTACACGTGGCGCCTTCTTACCGTTCTCGATGTTCGCACAGAAGTACTTGGCGGCGGAGAACGCGATCGAGAACTGATACAGAGCGCCTTAATCAGAGCTGCAAAGAAAGACGAGTAGAACGGAAAGAGAGAGAGAGAGGGTCGAGAGAGGCGGGGTGATGAGACAAACGGAAGACGCCTCCCTGAGCTTTCGCATTCTCATTGCACTTGCAGTTTCTCTTGTAGGTCTTCAATTTGTGTGGGCTCCCAGCTGACATATGCCAGGACCCAGAAGGAAATGAAAACATAGAGGACCAGCATCGCCTGCTGCTGCCCTGGCATCTGAGTCTGACAAGGTTGCTCGCCATCTTTGCCGGCAGCTTTTTGTCTGTTGGGGAGTTGAGAGCTGTCGGATTCAAGCACACGGCGCAGACCACCACTGCTTTCGGGGCTATCGTACCGTCGTACCGGTAAAGTACATCAAGCACTGCTGCAAGGGCCAGTTGCACCTGAGAGCTCCAGGTGACGATCGCGGCCAACACCAGTGACTTTGCCTCCGCGAACTCTAAGAATCTCAGACCATCCGACGAAGACTTGACACCATCCGGCTCATTTTTCCCCTTTAGCTTTGTGTTGCAATTTGTAGCTCTGCATCTCGCTTCCAGACTTTGAAGCTAGCACCACTCCAGAGTCAAGAGCAGATTCGGCACGATTGAGGAAAAGATTGACGGACGTCTTCTCCGGAGCTTGGTTTTCAGAATCTGTCAGTGTGGGGCTTCTTTTTGGGGGGCCTCTTATTTGGGCTTCCTTTTTGGCTTCTAGTTCTTGGCTTCCTTCAACTTCGTGCCTGTAGCCAAGAGGTGGACGAAGCCAGCTGCCAGCCTTGAAGAAGGAAAATCTCGCAGCAATAGCCAAGCAGTAGCAGCACGAACACCAACTGACTCTCATGTCTTGAAGCATTTGAAGCATAAATAAGCATCCCCAAGACGTCACAGGAGAAAGCAAAAAGAATGGAATGTCTCCCGAGCTTCGAGCACAAGAAAGAGCACGGTCTTGAAGATGGCCTTTCGAGCTCCAGCTTGCCCCATTCCCAGGAGCGGAACACGGGCGTCACATGCCTTCAGCAGCGGAGAGAGCAGGAGGATCGGCATTCGCCAAATCACCTCGCCAGGTAATTCGCAGGCTTCGGCACAGCTGCCACAGCTGGAAAACAAGCGGACTCAAAAACGGGGCTAAAGTCTAAAGTGCTAGTGGCTACTACTAGCGCAATGCGGAGGTTTCAGGGCATGGCAACAGCAGCTTGCCCCATGCATTCGGTGGACAACTTGACCTCCTGTCGCGAGGGAAGCGGCCCGGCACAGACGGCGCAGCAGACAGGGAAAAGGGATAGACAGGCGCTGCAAAGGGGCAGGCTCACTCGCCGAAACTCACCCAAACCCGCCGAAACCCAAACCGAAACTCGCCGAAACTCTCCTGGCGGCAGCAACAGAAGAGCAGAGCAACCAGCACACTCGCGACCCACGAAACAATGGCGAGCACCTCGGAGAGAATGGCACGCGATGTCACTCTTTAGAGAGAGAGAGAGAGAGAGAGAGAGAGAGAGAGAGAGAGAGAAGGCCAGCGCATGCAACTAGAAGGAAAACGGGGCAAAGCCTTGTACGTGGTGGCCCACTCCGCGGCATCCTGCAACAAGCAGAGTGAGAGAGGAGAACACGGAGAGAACTTCAGAGCAGCACAGAACGAGTCAGAAGGAGAGGAGAGCTCCGAACTTCGCTCCTGCGACTGGACCCACATGAACCAGCCCAGCAGCACGAAGGCCGTGAGGCCCACTAGTGCGCAGAACCATATGATGCAGCCCGCGACGGTCTTCAGCATGAAGAGGAAGAGGTACCTGTGAAGAAAGGGGGAAGAGAAAGGAAGAGACAGGAAGGAAGAGACGAGAAGGAAGAAGAGACTGGAAGGAAGGAAGGAAGGAAGGGAGGGAGGGAGGAAGGGAGGGGAATGAAAGGAAGAAGGGAGCAAAAGCGGGCAACATGCGAATGAACTGCGAAGCTGGTCTCACCCCATCACGCAAGCCAGCACCACCGCGAGCAGCAAAACCGGCCACGCCTTTCCTCTTCACTTTCCGTCAGCGTCTCCCCCCCATCATTCCATCACTCTCTTAACTACAATGGTCTTCGTTGTCTTCTCAACCCCAAGAGGACTTAACCTCATGTTCGGGACTCCGACCGACGCGATCCACCACGGTAAAGAGGTCCGCAGCCATGGTCCGCATGCCCTGCTCCACCTGCACGAGGAAGCGACTGGCAAAAGAAACACGCCAAGCACAAGCGCTGGCGTGCATGCCATGCATGCCCTGCATGCCATGCACATGCGCCTTCCGCCTAGAGACTGCTTCGCTGCTCCTGCTCATCCCCGGCCACAAGCAGCTACGGCCAAGATCTGAAGCGACGCTTTCTGGGATGCTGGGCGTCCCTGCCCGGAAGGCAAGCAGTATCGGCTGCCGATCTGCGTCGTCGGGTAAGCCTGAAGAACAGAAGAAATAGACTCAAATGGACTCAACATGTTCGACGAACACTTTCAAATACAAGACCGAGTGCTTGGTTGTGCCACATTGGGCCTCAACGAACATGTGCAAAGCTTGTGCAAAGCTTGTGCCACATATGTGCAACGTTGTGGGCCGATTCCAAGTTCCCAAAACTTCCCTGCCGAGAAGCATCCCCCAAAGCGCAACCAGAGTTGGCCGCCGCGACGTACATGCCGGGACTGCGGAGCAAGAGGCCATCAAAAGAAAGGAAAGGGTGCAAAGGGAGAGATCGAGAGAGCTAGACAGAGAGAGAGAGAGAGAACCAAAAGAAAGACAAGAACATGGAAATCAGCAAAAGGTCTCCACTTCGATTCAGTTGCTGCCTGGGACACTCTGACACGCAGACCGGATCGTCCAGGTTCACGGTGCGTTCCTGATGCCGCAAGCATCACTTTCCGAGAGCTCTCCTCGCTGCTCCCACATGTGGATGTGCAGATATGTGCAGATATGCACAGCGCGGGGCGCTCCACTCTGCACTTCACGCTAACAGAAGGCTGAGGGCCCGTCTCCTGACGATGTGACCTGGACTCCAAATGATTTTAAGGTTTTAGGCGGCGCGTCCGGTGCCCGATTCCCGTGCAAGAACGTGTTGCTCAAAAAGTGACCCAAGGCCCCCGAGGCCCCCAAGCCCCCCCCCCCCGTTCAAAAAGAGGCTCGCCTCTCCCTCGCGTTTCTGACTCTGTCTTCGCTCCCTTCTGAATTCGTAGCGAAGAGAGGCAGAGCAGAGGGGCGCTCAGCCGGAGCGCTGGGAGACTTATACCACTTAAGAGGCATATGGGGTTGGAGGAACAATCGTTGCCCCTTTGTTCCAACTCACTCCGAAGAGTTAGCTCTGAAGGACTTTCTGCTGTCTGCTCGGCTCTGGGGGCGCTGCCACCGGGCAGAAGAAGAGCAGAGGCCTGTGGCCAAGCCCCCCCCCCGCCCCCCGCTTTTTTTCAAGGGGGCCGGGGGCCCTCTCAGCTCTCTCCTTCCCTTGGGCCCTCTCCCCAATACTCGCTTATGCTGCTTATGCTAGTTTTCAGAGACGGTCCTGTCGATGACCTCGGCATCGACTCCGCACTGGCGCCTGAGGAGACGTGAGCCCACCCGAGGCGTGGATGAGCACACGGAGAGACGCAGGGCAGCGCACAGCGCACTTTCGGAGTCACATTCTGAGTTTCACCTTCGGTGATTCTGCGCGCTCTCTCTGACTCTCTCTCTCTCTCTCCTTTTCCTTTGCCCCCTCCTGTTTGGTGAGCCGAGGGGCCCCATGCCGTCAAGGCCATGGTTCAGCTTCTTCGAGTCGCCGTACAAGGCTCCATAGACGAACATCGCGATCAGCACGCCGAGGGCCAAGAGAAAGAGCAGGCAACATGGGATGTCGGTGCCTCAGATATGAGATCAGATGAGGACCTCTCTGAAATCACGAAATCACCCCAGCTAGGAAAAGCTTGGCAACGCATGGTGTGATGTGTTGTGTGCTTTCTGCGGTGAGCAGGCGTCTGCGCTTGTGGAAGAGGTCCTCGATGTCGTCCTGAGGACGGGCATGCCGGGCATGCCGGGCATGCCGGGCATGCCGGGCATGCCGGGCAAAGCGGCAGAGGGATATGGAACACTTTGGGACGCACAAACAGAAGCCTCAGTCTCAACGGCAGACTCGTCATCTGACATGGCGCGCAAGAGGAATAAAACGAAAGGTGTGGTTTCCGGAGCTCTTCTCAAGTAGCTTGGAACATGATCTTCACATCTCCGCATGGCTGCTCAGTGTCTGTCAAAAGCTAGGACGTGCGCATGAGCCGAGAGAAATGCCAACTTTTGTGAGAAGGAGCGTCTCAGAGCAGGCTGGCGACCGTGTGGCATGGACGACAAGTCCTTATTCTCTCTTCCAGAGGCAGAAAAGAGCTTACCCCATGAACCCCCGACGGTGGCAGATTGCTGACTTTTATGTCTGTCTTTGTCCCCCTCCCCCCTCACCCTCCCTCTCCCTCGCTCGCTTTCTCTTTCTTTTGGTATGGCATGTGCTTTCTTGCCGGGTCTAGAAAAGGCTTGTGCCTTTGAGTAGACTCCGCGAGTCAGGCTGCACCAAACGTGAGCACAGGGAGAAGGACAGGGACGGAGAAGAGGGACGTAGAGGGAGGAAGGGACAGTCACACATAAACCCACTCCAACATCCTTTAAATTATCCCTTGACATATCTTGATCTTGGGATATCTTGATATCACTTGCAGCTTGCAGAGGCCTCGCAGACTTTTGCTAGGCATTGGCGGCCTTGTCGGCATCAATATCCAAGATGCGCTGCATCACTTGATGCGAGGAAACATAGAGTTGCAGGTTCAGGCTTTGAGAGCTGCCGTCCGCAAACTCCATCTCAATGGCTTCCCGCTGAAAGGCTTGGGGCACTTGTCCCTCCCCTCCCTCACCTCCCTCACCTCCCTCACCTCCCTCACCTCCCCTGTCCGATGCGTCCAAGGCGGCGGCAAGGGCAGGGTTACCATCGGCTCCTTCCACTTGGCTTCCGGGCCCCTCTTGCGTCCGAGCTTGATGCCCTGCCTCCGCTGCGATCGCCGCGCTCGGAGCGCTCGGAGCGCTCGCTGCATCTGCTCGGAGGGTCTGGAGCTGGAAGGCCAGGTCGGGGCTCGCGAAGCGGAGCATTGGCAGGAACCGGCTCATCCAGTCCGTGGCCACCTTGTTCTCACGGAAGCAAACAATGCGGATCGCACTCAAACTTCTCGGCACCAAAGGAGTGGAGAGCATCAGGCGCTCCACGCGGCGAGCCATCACCTAGAGTCTTTTGTAAAGGCCAGTCACCCTTCCTAGTCACGGCCTGGTCCTTTGAAATGCTCGCTGCCTCCACGTTGCATCTCCTGTCTCGTTTCCAGTAGTGTATGTATATTACCTGGCCTAGCACTCCAACACTTTTGCAGATCAATCGCAGCCTTGCTTGAATGTCCTTTGGTTGCACTGGGAACATGCGAGGCATGTAAGCTTAATCCGTCATGAGTATCATGAGGTTCCTCGGAAGGACGGACTCTGATGGCACTTGCCGTCTACACTTTCGCAAGACTGAACCATGCCCGTGCTTTTCGCCCTGCTTTGCCGCGAGGCTCTTGTGGCTGCTGTGCTTTGGCAGCGGTGGGCAGACTTTGTCCCAGATGAAACACAAGTTGACCGCAGGAGGGGCGCCAGCAGGGTGCCTCCGGGCATAGGGGAGCATAGGGGAGCATAGGGAGCATCGGGGAGCATCGGGGAGCATCGGGGAGCATCGGGAAACACGGAGTCCAGCGCGCAAAAAAAAGCCCTTGCTAAGGGCGCAGCCCCAGGAGCTCAAGGGCGGAGGCTTAGGTGCCTCCGGGCTGGTCGGAGAGGCACCTCTGCGCACGGACAACTCTCAAAAACTGGAGTGAAGCGCGTGCAAAGGTCGCGTTGCCCTTGACTCAAAGGCTTTCTTCCTTTCGTTGGAAAGGCTCTCCCTCGCTCTCTCGCTCTCTCACGCTCATGCTCTTGCACTCTCCGAGAAGCTCTACATTCACAGCTGCTAGGAGTGGCAATTTGTGAGAGGCGGCCCGGATTCGGAGGAGGCGGGTCTCGGCCCTTCATGCTGTAGGTGTGGGCTGTCAAGGCGATTGTCTGACATTTTATAGCTCAGCCGCTGCTTTGGCGCAGCTGCGAGGCTACAGCGACGACGAGTCCTATGGCAGCAGCTGTGATAATGACGAGGACGTCGATGCTGAAGCCCCATACTGAAATCTGATGGGATACCATGTGCGGCTGGCAGGACTTTAGAGTATGCGGCAAAAGCTGTCCGCTCTTGGATCAGATGCCTGTGCATTAAAAAACACTTGCAGCCTCAACTCAAACCAACAGCCTCAAGCGTTTCGAGCGCTGCGCATGTCCAGATCTGCGACGTCATCAAGAGCTGTGAACGTCTTGATGCGACCTTCACCAAAGGTTAAGTTTTGATTTGTGCACCAACATCCTGCAAAACACGACAGAAATAGACGAAACATGATAAGGATGGTGAAAGTAACACAGTAACTCATGTAACTCTTCCCATGCAAGTGGCCATCGTCGTCATGCGAATTTCCCAGGACACCGACCTCTTGCCTGCACAGGACAATGCACAGAATAGCTGAATAGAACATCTAAAACATAGAAGCATCTCAGGCGACGGACAAATTCCTGGGGAGCCCGGCTCCAAGACACATTGCATGTAGACGAGCACCGTGAAGGAGAGGATCAAGACCTCAATTGACGAAGCAGAGCCGTGGATCCATATCATGCAACAAAATGCAAGTAAAATGCAAGATAAATGCAAGATTAGACTCGGAGACGGCCCTTTTAGGGCTCTGAAGCCTCTGAGTCTCTGAGCATGGAGCGCAGGTGCCGGCCGCGTTGGGCACGAAGTCCGATGGGTAGACCCACAAGAGGCAGCATGAGGACCCGAAATACGCCACGATGCTGACGACGAACGCATAGTAAATGGGCCTGGGCTGAGCACGCCGAGAGCATGCTGAGCATGCTGAGCATGCTGAGCATGCTGAGCATGCTGAGCATGCTGAGCATGCTGAGCATGCTCTCGACTCAACAATTCGCTGTTGCTATAAGCAGATCCTCGGGCACGGGCATTTGCTCTTCCTTCAGGAGAGCAATGGTCTCGTGGAAGGACTTCATTCCGTCGGGCCCACGCAGAGCGTTTCCTCTCAATGCCGGGACGGACATCCACTCTCACACTCTCCTCAGAATGACCCGCTAAAATAGCCAAAAAGCAACAACAACAACGAAAGAGAGAGAGAGAGAGAGAGGAACTTCGGCGCCTGGGCCCCAGGTGCAAACAAGCACGGTCCAGGTCACGATGCAGAGGTCCAAACCTCTCAACTCTGCTTCCTCTGCTTTCTTCCGCTTTGCTCCGCTTCACTTTCCCTGTCCCTCTTCCCTCTTCCCCCCCCCCCCCCCCCCCCCCCACCGGTTCTGAGCACTGCTTTGCTCTGGATACTCTCAGATGGGCGCTCAAGCAGATTGAAGTGAATCCCAGGTAAGCGCATTCAAGAGCTGGATGTGTGCCTCGAAGAATGTCAGAGGGCTCTCCGCAAATTCCACAGCACTTGGGCGAAAGGCACCCTGCAAGCTCCAACATGTTTTGCCTTGTGGAATTTCGCGGGTCAGCTCCGCCAAGGCGAAGCCGGCCATGATGACCGTGGTGCCTTTCTCTACGCTTCGTGGCTCAGGATCGGATCCCACTCAACTCCCACCCCGAACCAGCCGCCTCCCCATATCCAGTAGTTGTTCGTGTAGAAATCCAGCTCCTTCTGCCGCACCGCTGCCTGTTCCAGGGTCACCTGGAGCTTGCGAAGCTCTTGCTGGCTCAAGGTCTCGACTTGACAGGCTTCTGAATTCCATCTCTAAGTGTGGAACGCTTGAGAGGACGCTGTTCTTGTGCACGCTGAGCATGCTGGAGCATGGCACGGGTGCTCTCCCGAAATGCGATGTTGGGCGGCAAGGCCAGTACGAAGACTCTCAGGTGGCGGGTTCACGTCACGTGAAGTATTCCAAGAGACCTTCGAGTTCGGATGCGGGCGAGAGTTGAGCCCAGCAAGGATCGCAACTGCCCGCTCTACCGGCGTGTAGAGAGAGAGAGAGAGCGAGAGAGAGAGAGAGAGAGAGCTTCATTTTCTTGGCTGCAGGGACTCTACGCTGATAGGGGTCTCTAATTCACAGGCCGATCTCGATGGGCTGAATTATGCCTCCGGACCCTCTGAGGCGCACAGGAATCACAGGAATGTCTCTCATGTCTCTATCCGTGTCTAGTCTGCACAAGTCGCATTGCCAGCATGTCGCCAGGCAGAGCGAATTCATAGAATTCAGAGTCCCATCCCAGGCACAGGGAACCATAGAGCATTGCGCTTCGTAGCGTCGCAGCGCATTTTGTGCTGTCACAGGCGTCGGCTTTTCTTCCGGGGCGCCTCTTTGACACCTTCAGCGACAGCGCAGGATCTATGCAAAAAAGCATCTTCGTGTGGAGGGCTTGCTCAGAAGGGCCTGCTTTCTTCCGCTTCCTCAGCTCCGTGGCCTTGACCTCAGCACGCAAAGGCCGGCTCCCGAGCCCGGCTGCGCCTATGCGAAATCACTTCGAAAGCGACGACCCTTCGCTACGTCCACGAGAAAACCTGCAACATTTGGCTCCAGAGAGCGACTGCTAGCCGCTCTGGCGGAAGAACAGTGTCGGCTGAAGTCAAAGTGAGGAACAAAGAGAGAGAGTGAGAGACGAAGCTTTTGAACTGTATGGCTTCCGCCTCCAAGCACTCCAGGATCGCTTCGCAGACGACTTCTCAGAGTTGCGAGCCGGAAACATTTTGCCCCAAGTCCTGAATCCTTAGCCTCGCGCTTGCCCCAAACATCCGGTCTTCCGGTCACGTTGGGGTCGGCCAGGGTTGGCCAAAGAGCCTCAGCAAGGGGAAGGAAGCCCCCATGATCTTTGCACAGCTTGAAAGTGCAAAGGGCTTGAGTTGTGTCGGGACATCCCAAAAGGCGCGAGCGTCACGCGTGAGAAATGTGCTGAGAGCGCTGATCTTCCCCTCTAACAAAAAACCAACGAGAGAAGATGAGCTCGGGAACCTCCTGGCCTTTTCCAGGAAAATTTTGACTTTGAAGAAATTGACCTTGAAAAACGCACTCATATTTGTACTCATGCGAACTCATGTGGGCAGAGCTGGCATAGCTCTGGCACTCATCTCACGGCCGGCGCCTGGAGCTTCCGTGCGTCTTCGGGCTCCTTGCGGGGATCCCAGCCTGAGCAGAGAGCCACAACGAAACGGCAGCCAGGGCCCATCCTAGCAGCCTCGCAGCAGCACACCCCCTGACACGGAGAACCCCTCTCTCATGAGCTTTGTAAGCCTCAAAGTCCCGTCGCTCAAGAATCTCAATTGACACCCGCCCACGCGACATCTCCGAAAACCAAGGATGTGCCAGAGAAGATTCGTTGGGAAACACATTGAAAAACATGTGATGCCTTGTTGACTTCTCTTTTACTGCTTCTTTCTCTTTGTACTGCTTCACCATGACACAGAGACACACAGAGACCCGGAGGAAAAGACATCACAAGTTGCAACAACCGTGTGCGCCGAACATCCAGCACACAGAAGCGGCAATTTTGGCCTGAAACGCGAAGTTGATAGAACTAAAGTTGCAGCGGGAAATAGAACTCAAGTTGCAGCGGGAAATAGAACTAAAGTTGCAGCGGGAAATTGACCCAGCGAAGACCGCGGATGGGCGTCCCCTTTTGGGAGCTCGTCCGGGGAAAAATGCGTGGGGCGGGTCCATGGGAATTACCACCCAGGCCGCCGTAATAAAGCCTTCAAACCGAGGCCCAGGAGGAAGTTGCACACTACTAGAACCAGCGTGCAGCCTGCAAAACTTCCTGCGCGCTTCAATGCATTGTTAGAGTCGACAAACCGAGTGAGGACATAAGCTACGAGCAGTACAAAGACGGGGGCAGCCACAGCTCCCAACACCAGTGCGTTCTTGAGAATCTCAAGACAGGTGTTGCTCGGTCTCTTCCGACCAACCCTGACCAGGAGGATCATGAGATCCTTGGACGCTGGGACGTAACACAACCAAAGCACCAGACCTTCGACCAGAAGGGCAAGAGCGGTCTGCGGAGCTTCTGGAGATGCAGCGATGCTAGCACAGACGTCCATGAAAGCCAGAAATAGCGGAGAAGTCACTCCCAAAACCCATGGAGTACTGAACACCTTCTCGGTGAGGTCACGGTTCAGAAGGTCCAGAACCTCGGTGCGCACCGCGTTCTCAAAAGACAGCTCGCTGCCAAACCATATCTTCACGCACTCTTTAACGATCCTGGGCGGCTGTCAGGACCAGCAAAAGGACTTCATTCGTGCTTCGTACTGGGAACAAACGGACATGCTGAAAGTTGTAGAATGGCACTCAACAAGCGCCAAGCATCTTACGGTCACAGAGCATACGTCCGCCTGAAGGGGTCACGTGGTTCTGATCGCAGCAAGCACTCCTTGTAGAGTCAACAGAGATCGACAACAACTGCAGTTTCATGGTGTCCAAGTCTCTGAAGTAGCTTCGGACAGTGCTGACAGTCGGGAAGGCAACCGCCAAAGACGACAACGCTATGGTCCCCAGTAGCCCGACGATCGCTGAATTGCTGTGGATAGGCGCTGTTGCGAGCGGCAATGCCAGGGCAAAAAACACAAGGAAAATAGCGATGGAAAGAGGCCCCAAGAAGATGGGCCTGACCATAAGGTGCTGCTGTTGCGTCGTCTTGCTCTTCAGGAAGGCAGCAAGCTCAAACAAGCACCACAACCTCGCGAGCGTGAGGGAAAAAAACGCTTAGGACAAGAGCCACTTAAGTATCAGAAGCAAAGCATCCGACGGAGCTTACCAAGTTCGCCGGACGCTCTGGCTTATCTTGGCTTAGCTTCCGCATCCACGAACGGGAGGGGGAGGGGATCTGATCTACATCATGTCTTTTGCTGTTCGGGAAGGCTTGTCCCGGCCCTTGTCCGACCTCTCAGTCCATGTCGGGTCCCAGAGAACGAGCATGCTGTCGGAGTTCTTCAAGAGCCCCGCCAAGCTTAGGATGGCCTCCGACTTCAGGCGATCGTCGTTTTGGCTGATACAAATGCGGTCAAGGAAGACTCTCGTTTGTGATCGCCAAAAAGGCAGGACCAAACTTGCAACGACGAGCCCTGAAGAAGTTGACCAACAAGACCACACCCAATTCTCAATCCACCATCCACGGTCAATCCCAGGTAGAGTTCCAAAGCTGAACAGCACCATCATCAGCATGCCGGTGAGAAAAGCCAAGGAGACTGCCGCGGTGCCATTGTAGAGGGCGACAACTGTGAGGATTTTCTTCCACCGCCCTCCGTGCCAAGAGTGACTCCAAAATGTAGTTATCTTCGTACTTGCGCGGCTCTTGTGGTAGAAGTGTTTGTCAGATCCACCACGCAATGCTGCAGCAAACTGCTCCAAAGCTCGAAACACCGGCGTCACCCTCATGACCTCCGGGTTTACCACCGCCATCCTGGGCAATCGCTGGGATTCAAACCTCTTACTCAGTCTTCTGACTTGGTTTGCGTACTTGCGCAAAGCGATATACGGTAGGTACACTCAACCATGCCCCAGCTTCCGGGTAACGAGTTCTATCAGACTTGGCATCATGTCATCCACGTCGAGCATGACGTCGCGGTCGGATCCTATACTACCCCCAGGACTTGGTGCCAATGGAAGGTCGGGCATCGCGTGCATCGTCGCCGAGCTGCTGCCGCTGCCAGCCTCACAACACTCTCGTGCATCACTGTCATGCCACTCGTCTGGAACCGTCCAGCTCCGAATGGACTCCTCGCTGCTCTGGCTTGGCCTCCTCATCCCTCTTGGCCTGGTGCCAGGCTTGAGCCGCAGTCGCCCGAACAGCCCGAACAGCCCGAACAGCGAATGAGCACTTGAATCCAAAGCCTAGCCACAAAAACCCGTCTCAACCTGAAACCCAGTGAACCTGAAGTTGGAGCATGGGACAAGGACGACGAGTTCTGGGATTCGCTGCAATTTGCCTTGAGCGCATTGAAGATAAGTGACGTGCCATTCCACATTCCCTGAAAACCCAAATCCTGCAGATTGCGCAGAACATCCCAAACTTGTTAAAGGGACTAAGTTCAAGCTGCGAAGCTCCCAAACAAGAACTCGCCCTACTTCCCACGCGTTTGAGAAGGAACCTGGGACTACAGCACCCTGACTCCCTCGGGTTTACGCCTTGTACCATGACCTCCGTGAGCCCTGACTTAGGCTCTTCTCTTAGGCTCGGGCGACAGTACATTTCCCCTGGTCATCGGCAGCCTGAACAGACAACGGCCCAGGCCACCCCTTCCGATAGCTGATGCCACGGCCTTTTCCAGGAAAAGTCCGAAAGGCACCGAACATCCCAAAAGGCACGCGATAACGTGCTGAGAGCACTGATCGTCCCCTCTAACAGAAAAGCCGACGGGAGAACGTGAGCGATGCAGGCCTCGGGAACCTCCCGACCTTTTCCAAGAAAAGTCTTGTCCTTGAAGGAACATGACCTTCAAAACCATTCGCACTCACCCAGTGGGTGCGGGCTCCGGGACTGGATTCGAGGTCGCGCGCCGATTTGCGCCGAATGCGCTGTGTTTCCTGGAGTGCGCCGCAATGCGCTGCATGCGCTGCACGGCGCCGAATTGCGCTGAATTGCGCTGAATTGCGCTGCTTTGCGCTGATTAAGGGTCAGATGATGAAATATATTCACGGCAAGACACTTTTCGGGTTAAGCGGACATGGGGTCGTCAATTCGCAGCACGCTTAAATTGTTGGGTTTAGGGGATATCGGGTGCATGGGTGTGCGGGTTCTCGGCGGCGGGTTTATCGGGTCTGAGGACGCGCGGGTTTTCGGTAGCTACATGGGGCCTCAGCGACAACGAAGACCACCTGTAATGGGTGCGCATCGGCTAGTTTTTTTTGGGGGGGAGGAACTCCGCTCAGTTGGCATGGCTGACGCCGATCGGCATGAAGCACTTCGGTACAACGTGAACTTTTTCGGTTTGGGAGGAGATTAGCTCAGAGGCAGAGCATCTGACGTCTGAGGGCAAAGAATTGCTTTGCTCCTTAGCGTTTAAGGTGTATAGGGATTATAGGGTTTAGGGTTTATATAGGTTTAGGGCCTGACGACAGAAAGTGTGTTCAGGGTTCGGGAGGTTTTGATCTGCGCCTAATTATTGGGGAGCGCTGACAGCTGTTTTGCATATGAGGGCGCTGGCGGCCATTCTTCCTCCCAGAAACACCGGGCGGCAGCTGCCAACAATCTATTCGAACTTGAGTGCTTGTTTTTCATCCAGGGCGCCAATGGTAAGGATGACCCGGCAAGTGTCGCAAGGAAAGAGACGCATCCATTCTCAGATTGTTTTGCTGCCTGGGGCGCGACTGTGAGATCAGTACTCTTCGACGTCGGCATGTAAAGTGTTGAAACGCAACGAGGGATGTAATGTCGAAGACGCACCAACAAGCAGAACAACCGCAGATAGTAAGCGAAGACGCACCAATGAGCAAGACAAGCGCACATAGAGTGAAGACGCAGCAAGAAGCAAAGCAACGCACATAGTAAGCGAAGAGCACCAATATAAGCAAAACAAGCGCATATAGAGCGCAGATGCACCGATAAGTAAAACAACCGCACGTAGTAAGCGAAGACCCATGCAACAATAAGCAAATCAACCGCACGGAGTAAGCGAAGACGCACCAACAAGCAAAACAAGCGCACGTAGTAAGCGAAGAGGCACCAATAAGCAAAACAACCGCACGTAATTAATTCCCCCCTGTTAAGGGGCTGGGGGAGGTGTGGTGCGGGGGGGGACCCCCCTCGAGAAAATGGGTCCGAACCTACATTTCCGGGTTTCCGGAAATAGGCCCGGGCCTATTTTCTTTTAGGCCGTGGTTTGGGTATGTGAACCTTCGTAGGAGGCTGTGGCTTCTTGTTCATCCTTAGGCGTTGGCCTCTTTGCGTCATCGTAGCTATATCTTTGATGCGCGCATAAGTCTGCAGACCTATGTTCCGCTCATGGCGCTTGGGGCGATGATGCGAGTCTCAGGCGTGCAGGTTGGCTACACTCATGGGGGCTTTCTGCCGATGACGCATGATGACGCGACCTGAGAGGTGCAGGTTGGTCACGCTGATCGGGCCCGGCTTGGGCAACACGCAGGGCGCAGAGCGTCAGCAGCGGCAGCGACCGTCAGCAAGGGACGTAGTTAAGGATCGGGTTTATCGGTCGGTGCGCAGCAGGTTTCTTGGCGCGGGTTTAGCAGTGCGCCACGGGTTTATCGGGTTAGTGAATTTATGTAGCGGGTTTATCGGTGCGCCACGGGTTTGTCGGGCTTGGCGGGTACATCGGTGCGCCACGGGTTTATCGGGTTTAGCGGGTTTATCAGTGTGCCACGGGTTTATCGGGTGTAGCGAGTTTATCGGTGCGCCACAGGTTAGCAGGTTCGCCACGGATTTAGCGGGTTCAGCGGGTTTATCGGTCGCCGCGGGTTGAGCGGGTTTAGCGGGTTTAGCGGGTTTATCGGTGCGCCACGGGTTTAGCGGGTTTTAGCGGGTTTAGCGGGTTTAGCGGGTTTATCGGTGCGCCACGGGTTTAGCGGGTTTAGCGGGTTTATCTGTGCGCCACGGGTTTAGCGGGTTTAGCGGGTTTAGCGGGTTTAGCGGGTTTTGGGGTTTAGCGGGTTTAGCGGTGCGCCACGGGTTTACCGGGTTTAGCGGGTTTATCGGTGCGCCACGGGTTTAGTGGGTACGGGACTGCGGCGTCCGACATGCAAGGTTGGGTTTTCGAGATGCAAAGCGCGCGCCCGAGATGCATGGCACCAAGCCGTTTGCATCTCGAAAACCCAACCTTGCATGTCGGACCAGGATTCTATTTTTGCCTTCCTACACCCACCTGGGACGCCGGGACCAAGATTTTGCTGAATTTCTCCTGCTCTCTTTACTTTTACTAGAATTTCCTCTTTACTTTAATAGGATTTCCTCCACGGCCTCAGCAGTTTGCATCTCGAAAACCCACCTGTGCCGGTTCGACCCAGATTTTACTATTATACTATTTTACTATTTTACTATTTTACTATTTTACTATTTTACTATTTTACTATTTTACTATTTTACTATTTTACTATTTTACTATTTTACTATTTTACTATTTTACTATTTTACTATTTTACTATTTTACTATTTTACTAATTTTACACGAAATCGGGAGTTTGCATCTCGAAAACCCACCTGTGCCGGTTGGACCCAGAATTTACCACTTTACTGATTTCGCGCGAAATCCAGAAAAACTCCTCCTTCTCTCTTTACTTTTAATAGGATTTCCTCCACGGCCTCAGCAGTTTGCATCTCGAAAACCCACCTGTGCCGGTTCGACCCAGATTTTACTATTTTACTATTTTACTAATTTTACGCGAAAGGGGGGTGTTTGCATCTCGAAAACCCACCTGTGCCGGTTGGACCCAGAATTTACCACTTTACTGATTTCGCGCAAAATCCAGAAAAAAAATCCTCCTTCTCTCTTTACTTTTAATAGGATTTCCTCCACGGCCTCAGCAGTTTGCATCTCGAAAACCCACCTGTGCCGGTTCGACCCAAATTTTACTATTTTACCAATTTACTAATTTTACACGAAATCGGGAGTTTGCATCTCGAAAACCCACCTGTGCCGGTTGGACCCAGAATTTACCACTTTACTGATCTCGCGCGAAATCCAGAAAAACATCCTTCTTCTCTCTTTACTTTTAATAGGATTTCCTCCACGGCCTCAGCAGTTTGCATCTCGAAAACCCACCTGTGCCGGTTCGACCCAGATTTTACTATTTTACTAATTTGCTAATTTTACGCGAAATCTCGAAAACCCACCTGTGCCGGTTGGACCCAGAATCTACCACTTTACTGATTTCGCGCGAAATCCAGAAAAAAATTCTTCCTTCTCTCTTTACTTTTAATAGGATTTCCTCCACGGCCTCAGCAGTTTGCATCTCGAAAACCCACCTGCGCCGGTTCGACCCAGATTTTACTATTTTACTATTTAACTATTTTACTAATTTTACGCGAAATCGGGAGTGTGCATCTCGAAAACCCACCTGTGCCGGTTGGACCCAGAATTTACCACTTTACTGATTTCGCGCGAAATCAGAAAAAACTCCTCGTTCTCTCTTTACTTTTAATAGGATTTCCTCCACGGCCTCAGCAGTTTGCATCTCGAAAACCCACCTGATTTACTATTTTACTATTTTACTAATTTTACGCGAAATCGGGAGTTTGCATCTCGAAAACCCACCTGTGCCGGTTGGACCCAGAATTTACCACTTTACTGATTGCGCGCAAAATCCAGAAAAAACTCCTCCTTCTCTCTTTAGATTTCCTCCACGGCCTCAGCAGTTTGCATCTCGAAAACCCACCTGTGCCGGTTCGACCCAGATTTTACTATTTTACTATTTTACCATTTTTACTATTTTACTACTTTACTAATTTTACGCGAAATCGGGAGTTTGCATCTCGAAAACCCACCTGTGCCGGTTGGACCCAGAATTTACCACTTTACTGATTGCGCGCAAAATCCAGAAGAAAAAAAATCCTCCTTCTCTCCTTATTTTAAATAGGATTTCCTCCACGGCCTCAGCAGTTTGCATCTCGAAAACCCACCTGTGCCAGTTCGACCCAGATTTACTATTTTACTATTTTACTGATTTACTAATTTTACGCGAAATCGGGAGTTTGCATCTCGAAAACCCACCTGTGCCGGTTGGACCCAGAATCTACCACTTTACTGATTTCGCGCGAAATCCACAAACAAATCCTCCTTCTCTCTTTACTTTTAATAGGATTTGCTCCACGGCCTCAGCCTCAGCAGTTTGCATCTCGAAAACCCACCTGTGCCGGTTCGAACCAGATTTTACTATTTTACTATTTTACTATTTTATTATTTTACTATTTTACTATTTTACTATTTTACTATTTTACTATTTTACTATTTTACTATTTTACTATTTTACTATTTTACTATTTTACTATTTTACTATTTTACTATTTTACTATTTTACTAATTTTACGCGAGATCGGGAGTTTGTATCTCGAAAACCTACCTGTGCCGGTTGGACTCAGAATTTACCACTTTACTGATTGCGCGCAAAATCCAGAAAAAAACTCCTCCTTCTCTCTTTACTTTTAATAGGGTTTCCTCCACGGCCTCAGCAGTCTGCATCTCGAAAACCCACCTGTGCCGGTTCGACCCAGATTTTACTATTTTACTATTTTACTGTTTTACTATTTTACTATTTTACTATTTTACTATTTTACTATTTTACTATTTTACTATTTTACTATTTTTACTATTTTACTATTGTACTAATTTAGTAATTTTACGCAAAATCGGGAGTTTGCATCTCGAACGAAACCCACCTGCGCCGGTTCGACCCAGATTTTGCTATTTTACAATTTTACTAATTTACTAATTTTACGCGAAATCGGGAGTTTGCATCTCGAAAACCCACCTGTGCCGGTTGGACCCAGAATTTACCACTTGCATCTCGAAAACCTCCTCTGGCATGTCGGATCCCAGGAAAGTTTGCATCTCGAACACCTACCTTTGCATGTCGGACCCCCAATTTGCATGTCGGACAGAGGGATCCCGGTTTAGCGGGTTTATCGGTGCGCAGTCCCTGTTTCCGCGCGCAATGCAAAGTCCCATTGCTCAAGAATCTCAATCTACAGCCACCCGCGTTAAATCCCCGAGAACCAGGGATGTGCCAGAGAAGATTCGTTGGGATAAGCCTTGTTGATGTCTCTTTGTACTGCTTCACCATGACACAGAGACACAGAGACACAGAGACACAGAGACACACAGAAAAGACACCGCAAGTTGCAACCACCGTGCGCGCGTGGGCGCGCGCCCGCCTCGCGCAATTGAGCTGCTTAAAGCTGCTTAGCAATCAGAAATCCAAGGCATTCTCAGGGGACGACACAGGTGCGTGCTTGAGGCCCGACTCGAGCCAAACCTGTCGCTTTTCTCGTATGTGACATGACTCAGCCCTGACTCAGCCCTGACTCAGCCCTGACTCAGCCCTGACTCAGCCCTGACTCAGCCCTGACTCAGCCCTGAGCAGGTCTCTCCCAGAAGAGTTGGATCAGCTTCTCAAGGAAGAGAGCATCCTGTCCTCGTTCTCATGCTGATAGAATGGCAGAATGTTTGGGGACAGGCGGAGTTACGGAACATCCAGCAGGGCGGCCTTGTTTTTCCCTGACATGCCAAGTTGAAAGCCAGAGTTGCGGCGGGAATTTGGCCCAGCAAGACGGCAGCAGCCCCTTTTGGGGATGCATCCCGAAAAGTGCGCGGGGGGGGGGGACTTTTTGCATGGGAATTACCACCCAGGCCGCTGTAATAAAGCCTTCAGACCAAGGCCTAGAAGGAAGTTGCACACTACTAGAACCAGCGTGCAGCCTGCAAAAATGCCTGCACGCCGCAGCGCATGGTCAGGTTCGACAAATCGAGTGAGGCCATACGTGACGAGCACTACAAAGACGGGGGTAGCCCCAGCTCCCAACACCAGTGCGTTCTTGAGAATCTCAAGACAGGTGCTCCTCGGTCTCTTCCGACCAACCCTGACCAGCAGGATCATGAGATCCTTGGTCGCTGGGACGTAACACAACCAAAGCACCAGACCTTCGACCAGAAGGGCAATAGCAGGCTGCTGATCGTCTTGAGCTGCAGCCATGCTAGCAGAGACGTCCATGAAAGCCAGACATAGCGGAGAAGTCACTCCCAAAGCCCATGGAGTACTGAACACCTTCTCGGTGAGGTCACGGTTCAGAAGGTCCAGAACCTCGGTGCGCACCGCGTTCTCAAAAGACAGCTCGCTGCCAAACCATATCTTCACGCACTCCTTAACGATCCTGGGCGGCTGTCAGGACCAGCAAAAGGACTTCATTCGTGCTTCGTACTGGGAACAAACGGACATGCTGAAAGTTGTAGAATGGCACTCAACAAGCGCCAAGCATCTTACGGTCACAGAGCATACGTCCGCCCGAAGGGGTCACGTGGTTCTGATCGCAGCAAGCACTCCTTGTAGAGTCCACAGAGATCGACAACAACTGCAGTTTCATGGTGTCCAAGTCTCTGAAGTAGCTTCGGAGAGTGCTGACAGTCGGGAAGGCAACCGCCAAAAACGACAACACCAAGGTCCCCAGTAGCTCTACGATCGCTGTATGGGTGTGGATAGGCGCTGTTGCGATCGGCAATGCCACGGCAAAAAACACAAGGTAAATAGCGATGGAAAGAGGCCCCAAGAAGATGGGTCTGACAATAAGGTGCTGCTTTTGCGTCGTCTTGCTTTTCAGGAAGGCAGCAAGCTCAAACAAGCACCACAACCTCTCGAACGTGAGGGAAAACAGAAAACGCTTAGAACAAGAGCCACTTAAGTATCAGAAGCAAAGCATTCGACGGAGCTTACCAAGTTCGCCGGACTCTCTGGCTTGGGTTATCTTGGCTTAGCTTCCGCATCCACGAACGGGAGGGGGAGGGGATCTGATCTATATCATGTCTTTTGCTGTTTGGGAAGGCTTGTCTCAGCCCCCATCCCACCTCTCAGTCCATGTCGGGTCCCAGAGAACGAGCATGCTGTCGGAGTTCTTCAAGAGCCCCGCCAAGCTTAGGATGGCTTCCGACTTCAGGCGATCGTCGTTTTGGCTGATACAAATGCGGTCAAGGAAGACTCTCGTTTGTGATCGCCAACAAGCCAGGACTAAACTTGCCACGACGAGCCCTGAAGAAGTTGACCAACAAGACCACTCCCAACCGGGAAGCCACCATCCACGGTCAATCCCAGGTAGAGTTCCAAAGATGAACAGCACCATCATCACCATGCCGGTGAGACAAGCCAAGGAAACTGCCGCGGTGCCATTGTAGAGGGTGACAACTGTGAGGATTTTCTTCCACCGCCCTCCGTGCCAAGAGTGACTCCAAAATGTAGTTATCTTCGTACTTGCGCGGCTCTTGTGGTAGAAGTGTTTGTCAGATCCACCACGCAATGCTGCAGCAAACTGCTCCAAAGCTCGAAACACCGGCGTCACCCTCATGACCTCCGGGTTTACCACCTGCATCCTGGGCAATCGAGAGTCAAACCTCCTACTCATTCTTCTTACTAGGTTTGTGTACTTGCGCAAAGCGATAAACGGTAGGTACACTCAACCATGCCCCAGCTTCCGGGTAACGTGTTCTATCAGACTTGGCATCATGTCATCCACGTCGAGCATGACGTCGCGGTCGGATCCTCTACCACCCCCAGGACTTGGTGCCAATGGAAGGTCGGGCATCGCGTGCATCGTCGCGGAGCTGCTGCTGCTGCCAGCCTCAGAACACTCTCGTGCATCACTGTCACGCCACTCGTCTGGAACCGTCCAGCTCCGAATGGACTCCTCGCTGCTCTGGCTTGGCCTCCTCATCCCTCTTGGCCTGGTGAACGGAAGGTACCGGAGGCTGCCAGGCTTGAGCAGCAGTCGCTAACTCATTCTGCTAGCGTAGACCCCGAAGAGCCCGAACAGCGGAAGAGTGTCACAACAGCCGAAACTTGTTAAAGGGGCAGAGTTCAATCTGACATACTTCCGTAATCCTGGCAGTTCTGGCATGTAAAGCGGGATGACAGGGCTCTACTCTTTCGGGCTTGCGCCTTGCACCACGAACTCCATGAGTCCTGAGGCTCTTCTCTTAGGCTCGGGCAATCGATTTCCCCTGCGTCCGCAGCCTGAACAGCAGAGCTGACTAGGGTCATGCTGCATGCGATATACTGAAGCCAACCTCCTTGGCACCCATCATCGGCTGTGCTGGGATGTGCGGGAGTTGAACCTTGCATTCTGCTCCTAAAATTCTGTTCACGTTCCAAGATCCCCCGAGGCTCAAAGCCAGCGCCTCACCGCATCGACAAGAAGGACATCCTTCGGCTCTGGGTATACGAGGGTCGCGTGCTCCTTATGAGAGATTTCTTTTCTATCCCATAGGGCAAAGTGTGATGCGCTTCTTCCGAAGTCGCTTTCTCGTCATGTGAAGGGGGTTCTTCTCCCGTCCTCTGTTCCAAGGGCTGTCTGCTTCCCCGGCCAGCTCCGAAGTCGATGCTCAATTTTGGGGAGATGGTTTAACGGCCTGCCTGGCCGGCTTTGCATTCTCTTGCTTGCGAGCCTCCAGGGAAGAGATGGGCATGAGATGGGCAGGACTCCTCCCATCCTTTCCCTCTTTCGTCCCAACCACCCCTTCCGAGTTTGCGGTCTCTCTGAAGCTTCGGCAGGCGGAGCTCTGAAGCAAGGTGCAAGACGTGCAAACCTGAGCGCTGGCCAAGTCCCAACATCCACCGGAATCTACCGCACCCAATTGCATGCCCAGGCTATCCAATGCAAGCGAAGACTTGGCTGTCATAATTTGGTACAGTACATCTGGGGGCCACAAGCATCTCGAGCAAGGAACTTTCAAAGCTGTGTTTTGCTGTGGTGCTATGCCCCTCGCCTCTTGCGAAACTGGATGCTGCGTCCACGTCGGGCTTCCGTACAGGAAGTCTACCAGAACACGGATGGCCTGTCATAGGCGCTCTCACATATGTGCTCAGACACATGACTCAAATGTCGTACGGCTGTTTCCTTGCGTCTCCTGGCCTCTGCGTGCTTGATGCCGCGCATTTCCAGCTCAAAAATGTTGCAACCCATCTCTCCCTGCAGCTCTGACAGCACTCCAAGTCCAACTTCCAGCGAGGTTCCCCCAAAGAGGGGGACCGCGTTAACAACAACAGTCTCTCTCTCTCGCGCTCTTCTTCTTCTGCTGGGCATAGGGGAAGGCCCCCCGCGCACTGGGCGCGCCCGAGGCTGAGTCAGGTGCGTGTGCTCTCTCTCTCTCTCGCTCTCTCTCGCGCTCTCTTCTTCTTCTGCTGGGCATAAAAACGCTAGCACCCGCCGCGCGCGAAGCGCGCCCTGATCCTTCAGTCCTTTGTGACACTTTCCGATGAACTCTGGAGTGTATGCGGACGGCTTGCTCCTTTGTTCCTCCTCCCGAGAGCTCGTCCTGATCTACTCACCCTCGCGCTCTCTCTTCTTCTTCTTCTTCTTCTTCTTCTTCTTCTTCTTCTTCTTCTTCTTCTTCTTCTTCTTCTTCTTCTTCTTCTTCTTCTTCTTCTTCTTCTTCTTCTTCTTCTTCTTCTTCTTCTTCTTCTTCTTCTTCTTCTTCTCTTCTTCTTCTTCTTCTTCTTCCTCTTCTTCTTCTTCTTCTTCTTCTTCTTCTTCTTCTTCTTCTTCTTCTTCTTCTTCTTCTTCTTCTTCTTCTTCTTCTTCTTCTTCTTCTTCTTCTTCTTCTTCTGCTGGGCTTAAGGGTGCCCCCCCGCGCACGGAGCGCGCCCGAGGCTGAGTCAGGTCCTGTGAGACCACTACGCGCTCTCTCTCTCTCTCTCTCTTTCGCGCTCTCTCTCTCTCTCTCTCTCTCGCGCTCTCTGCTTTTGCTCTCTCTCTCTCTCGCGCTCTCTCTCTCTCTGTCTCTCTCTCGCTCTCGCACTCTCTTCCCCCGAGAGGGTTCCCCCGGCCACGACACTCTCTCTCTCTCTCTCTCTCTCTCTCTCTTTTTGAAAGATATAGACATGCAAATCAAAAATACACCCCCCCCAGCACGCACACAGCGTGCACCCTGGAAAAGGGGCGAAAAAACCCAGACTCCGAGATTCCAGAGAGATTCCAGAGAGCCTCCGAGACTTTGAGACTCCGAGACTCCGAGACTCCGAGACTCGCTCTCGGAAGCTTGTTCTCTTCGGGTGTCCACGGCCCTGACACCAGGCAGACCTAAGAAAAAACTAGGTACTAAGAACTTGCACCCAAAAAAGCGCAGGTCGAAGCTCTTCGCAATTCATAGGCGTCGAGTGCCAAACAAAGAGAAGAGAGCGCAACGGGACAAAAACAGATCCGGGGGAAGGGGTGCTCCGCGCGCGTGGGGAACACTTCCAAGGGAGCGGTGCTGGGCACTCTGCGACCCGGTCTTCGGGGGCTTGGCCGCTTGACCCCCCGAGCCCATCATTGCTAAGTGGAGGTGGTCGACAAGCAACGTCTACAACCATGTCATCCCCCCGCCTCGGCTCTAGGGGTGTCACAGTTGAGTTGCTTTGCACCATCCAGGATTAGCCTCTGACACGGAGGCGATGCGTTCAAGAGAGAGAAAGAGAGAGAGAGAGAGAGAGAGTATGTGAGGGAAAATGTCAAAGGGGAATCTCAGAAAACTCCCCCCCGCAAGCTCCTCAAACCATGTTTGTTTGTTGCCTTGTGGAATTTCGCGGGTCAGCTCCGCCAAGGCGAAGCCGGCCATGATGACCGTGGCCTGGAGCTTGCGAAGCTCTTGCTGGCTCAAGGTCTCGACTTGACAGGCTTCTGAATTCCATCTCTAAGTGTGGAACGCTTGAGAGGACGCTGTTCTTGTGCACGCTGAGCATGCCGGAGCATGGCACGGGTGCTCTCCCGAAATGCGATGCTGGGCGGCAAGGCCAGTACGAAGACTCTCAGGTGGCGGGTTCACGTCACGTGAAGTCACATGACACCGATTCCAAGAGACCTGCGGGGTTCGGATGCGGGCGAGAGTTGAGCCCAGCAAGGATCGCAACTGCCCGCTCTACCGGCGTGTAGAGAGAGAGAGGGAGAGCTTCATTTTCTTGGCTGCAGGGACTCTACGCTGATAGGGGTCTCTAATTCACAGGCCGATCTCGATGGGCTGAATTATGCCTCCGGACCCTCTGAGGCACACAGGAATCACAGGAATGTCTCTCATGTCTCTATCCGTGTCTTGTCTGTACAAGCCGCATGCCAGCATGTCGCCAGGCAGAGCGAATTCATAGAATTCAGAGTCCCATCCCAGGCACAGGGAACCATAGAGCATTGCGCTTCGTAGCGTCGCAGCGCATCTGTCACAGGCGTCGGCTTTTCTTCCGGGGCGCCTCTTTGACACCTTCAGCGACAGCGCAGGATCTATGCAAAAAAGCATCTTCGTGTGGAGGGCTCAGAAGGGCCTGCTTTCTTCCGCTTCCTCAGCTCCGTGGCCTTGACCTCAGCACGCAAAAGCCGGCTCCCGAGCCCGGCTGCGCCTATGCGAAAGCACGGCGAAAGCGACAACCCTTCGCTACGTCCAACCACGAGAAAACCTGCAACATTTGGCTCCAGCTCTGAGGAAGAACAGTGTCGGCTGGAGACGAAGTGAGGAGCAAACAGAAAGAGCGAGACAACAGCATGGCTTCACGCCTCCAAGCACTCCAGGATCGCTTCGTAGACGACCTCTCAGAGTTACAAGCTGCAAGCTTTGTAAACACGGTCACCGGAAGCTCCCGCAGCCCGCCATCTTTGTAGATTGATTGAAAGTTCATGGGAAGGCCCCGGTTTCCTACAACAATTTCAGGTTCCCAACGTTTTCCTCAATCATTGACCTCCGGTTTCCCGAGTCTGCGCTATAAGTCCTGAATCCTTAGCCTCGCGCTTGCCCCAAGAATCCGGTCTTCCGGTCACATTGGGGCCGGCCAGGGTTGGCCAAAGAGCCTCAGCAAGAGGAAGGAAGCCCCCATGATCTTTGTGCAATTTGAAGCACGTGCAAAGGTATTCCAAAGGCTTCTCAAAGGCTCGCCTTGGACGCCTTGCACCAGGGACTCCACAAACTCATCCTGCAGGCAGCCCATGCAGTAGCCAGCACGACTCCAGCAGTCTGGTGTTTTCACGTGTTTTTCACATGTCTTTTTCTCTCTAAACCCACAGAATGTGCTTCAGATCCTCGATGAAGTCAAGCACATAGAGCGAGGAGCGCCGAGTGGGGGCGCTGTGGAAGAAGATGTCGTCGGACGCCTCCGATTTGACCAGCAACTGACCCAGAGCCTCGTGTAAAATTAATTACCAAAGCGGTGCCCCCAATTGTACCCCTTCCTGGACCCCCAGTGGCACGGACCATGAAGAAGTGCATCACGCGTGAGTGAGTAACGTGCTGAGAGCACTGATCGTCCCCTCTAACAGAAAAGCCGACGAGAGAACGCGAGCTGCGCAGGCCTCGGGAACCTCCCGGCCTTTTCCAGGAAAAGTCTTGTCCTTGAAGGAAATGACCTTCAAATCCATTCGCACTCAGAATGTCATATGTGTACTCATGTGGGCATAGCTGGCACAGCTCTGGCACTCATCTCACGGCTGGCGCCTGGAGCTTCAGAGCGTCTTCGGGCTCCTCGCGGGGATCCCAGCCTGAGCAGAAAGCCCCAACGAAACGGCAGCGAACGGCAGCGGCACGCGGCAGTTCAGGGCTTTCGGGGGGCGGCCTTGCCTAGTCGTGCATAGGCCTGCTGCCAGGGCCCATCCTTCCACTGGTATGCGACAAAGGGCAGCAGCCTCACAGCAGCACACCCCCTGACACGGAGAAACCCCTCTCTCAGTGCACTCTCCACCTCTTGAGCCTGTCCCCGTCCATGAGCTTTGTAAGCCTCAAAGTCCCATCGCTCAAGAATCTCAATTGACACCCGCCCTCACGCTAAATCCTCGAAAACCGGGGATGTGCCAGAGAAGATTCGTTGGGAAACGCGGTGGAAGTATGTGACGCCTTGTTGATTTCTCTTTGTACTGCTTCACCATGACACAGAGACAGAGACAAGATGCAACCACCGTGCGCGCCATTGAGCTGCCTAAAGCTGCTCAGCAGTCAGAACCCCAACGCCTTCTCAGGCGACGACACAGGTGCCTGCTTGAGGCCCGACTCGAGCCAAACCTCTCGCTTTTCAAGAGCATCGGCGCGCATCATGCTCATCATGATTCATCATGTCTGTGCCATGGCTGGTTTGTTGCATGTGACACGCTCAGCCCGGAGCAGGTCTCTCCCAGAAGAGTTGGACGAGCTTCTCGAGGAAGAGAGCATCCTGGCCTCGTTCCAACAAATGGAGGCGGAGAACACTTTCCGAACATCCAGCACCCAGAAGCGGCAATTTTTACTCTGAAACGCGAAGTTGATAGAACTAAAGTTGCAGCGGGAAATAGAACTCAAGTTGCAGCGGGAAATAAAACTAAAGTTGCAGCGGGAAATTGACCCGGCGAAGACCGCGGATGGGCATCCCCTTTTGGGAGCTCGTCCTGGGAAAAATGCGTGGGGCGGGTCCAGAGTCCATGGGAATTACCACCCAGGCCGTCGTAATAAAGCCTTCAGACCGAGGCCCAGGAGAAAGTTGCACACTACAAGAACCAGCGTGCGGCCTGCAAAACTTCCTGCGCGCCGCAGTGCATCGTCAGAGTCGACAAATCAAGTGAGGCCATACGCTACGAGCATTACAAAGACGGATGTAGCCCCAGCTCCCAACACCAGTGCGTTCTTAAGAATCTCAAGACAGGTGCTCCTCGGTCTCTTCCGACCAACCCTGACCAGCAGGATCATGAGATCCTTGGTCGCTGGGACGTAGCACAACAAAGCACCAGACCTTCGACCAGAAGGGCAAGAGCAGGCTGCTGATCGTCTGGAGCTGCAGCCATGCTAGCGGAGACGTCCATGAAAGCCAGAAATAGTGGAGAAGTCACTCCCAAAGCCCATGGAGTACTGAAGACCTTCTCGGTGAGGTCACGGTTCAGAAGGTCCAAAACCTCGCTGCGCACCGCGTTCTCAAAAGACAGCTCGCACTCTTTAACGATCCTGGGCGGCTGTCAGGACCAGCAAAAGGACTTCATTCGTGGACATGCTAAAAGTTGTACGTAGGATGGCACTCAACAAGCGCCAAGCATCTTACGGTCACGGAGCATACGTCCACCCGAAAGGGTCACGTGGTTCTGATCGCAGCAAGCACTCCTTGTAGAGTCAACAGAGATCGACAACAACTGCAGTTTCATGGTGTCCAAGTCTCTGAAGTAGCTTCGGACAGTGCTGACAGTCGGGAAGGCAACCGCCAAAGACGACAACACTATGGTCCCCAGTAGCTCCACGATCGCGGTTGCGTAGTAGATAGGTGCTGTTGCGATCGGCAATGCCAGGGCAAAAAACACAGGGAAAATAGCGATGGAAAGAGGCCCCAAGAAGATGGGTCTGACAATAAGGTGCTGCTATTGCGTCGTCTTGCTTTTCAAGAAGGCAGCAAGCTCAAACAAGCACCACAACCTCTCGAACGTGAGGGAAAACAGTGCTTAGGACAAGAGCCACTTAGGTATCAGAAGCAAAGCATCCGACGGAGCTTACCAAGTTCGCCGGACGCTCTGGCTTATCTTGGCTTAGCTTCCGCATCCACGAACGGGAGGGGGAGGGATCTGATCTATATCATGTCTTTTGCTGTTTGGGAAGGCTTGTCTCTTCCCCCATCCCACCTCTCAGTCCATGTCGGGTCCCAGAGAACGAGCATGCTGTCGGAGTTCTTCAAGAGCCCCGCCAAGCTTAGGATGGCCTCCGACTTCAGGCGATCGTCGTTTTGGCTGATACAAACGCGGTCAAGGAAGACTCTCGTTGTGATCGCCAAAAAGTCAGGACCAAACTTGCAACGACGAGCCCTGAAGAAGTTGACCAACAAGACCACTCCCAATTCTCAATCCACCATCCACGGTCAATCCCAGGTAGAGTTCCAAAGATGAACAGCACCATCATCAGCATGCCGGTGAGAAAAGCCAAGGAAACTGCCGCGGTGCCATTGTAGAGGGTGACAACTGTGAGGATTTTCTTCCACCGCCCTCCGTGCCAAGAGTGACTCCAAAATGTAGTTATCTTCGTACTTGCGCGGCTCTTGTGGTAGAACAGATCCACCACGCAATGCTGCAGCAAACTGCTCCAAAGCTCGAGACACCGGCGTCACCCTCATGACCTCCGGGTTTACCACCTCCATCCTGGGCAATCGCTGGGATTCAAACCTCTTACTCAGTCTTCTGACTAGGTTTGCGTACTTGCGCAGAACGACAAACGGTAGGCACACTCAACAATGCCCCAGCATCCAGGCAACGTGTTCTGCCAGACTTGGCATTATGTCATCCACGTCGAACATGACGTCGCGGTCGGATTCTATACTACCCCCAGGACTTGGTGCCAATGGAAGGTCGGGCATCGCGTGCATGGTCATGGAGCTGCTGCCGCTGCCAGCCTCACAACACTCTCGTGCATCACTGTAATGCCACTCGTCTGGAACCGTCCAGCTCCGAATGGACTCCTCGCTTGTCTGGCTTGGCCTCCTCATCCCTCGTCAGGCTTGAGCCGCAGTCGCCCGAACAGCCCGAACAGCGAATGAGCACTTGAATCCAAAGCCTAGCCACAAAAACCCGTCTCAACCTGAAACCCAGTGAACCTGAAGTTGGAGCATGGGACAGGGACGACGAGTGCTGGGATTCGCTGCAATTTTCCTTAAGCGCATTGAAGATAGGTGACGTGCCAGTCCACATTCCCTGAAACCCTAAATCCTGCAGATTGCGCAGAACAGCCCAAACTTGTTGAAGGGACTAAGTTCAAGCTGACATCCTTCCATAATCCTGGG